GTTTCCTCTAGGTTTTCAGATTTGTGGAGTACAATTTTTCATAGTGTTCTGTGATGATTCTTTTAATTTCAGTTGGGTCTGTTGGGATATTGCCATCTCATTTTTTATTAGGGTTATTTGCTTCCTCTCCTGTTTTTCTTTTGTCATTTTGGCCAGTGGTTTATCGATTTTGTTGATCTTTTCAGAGAACCAGCTTTTGGTCATGTTAACTCTTTAAATTGTTTTTCTATTCCCTATTTCATTTAATTCTGCTCTAATTCTTATTATTTCCTTTCTTCTGGGCCCAAGGGCTTCTTTTGCTGCTCTCTACTTTTGAGTTGTAGAGTTAATGTTTTGCTTTTGGCCCTTTCTTCTTGTGGATGTGTGCATTTATTGCTATAAATTGGCCTCTGAGCACTGCTTTTGCTGTGTCCCAAAGGTTTCTGGTAGGATGTGTTTTTATTCTCATTTGATTCTGTGAATTTCTTTATTCCATCTTTAATTTCTTCTTTAACCCTGTAGTTTTTGAACAAGGTGTTTTTCAGTTTCCACGTGTTAGATTTTTTTTTTCCTTGCTTTTTCTGTTATTGGTTTCTACTATGGCTTTATGGTCAGAAAAGGCGCTTTGTAATATTTCAATACTTTGGATTCTTTTAAGGCTCACCTCATGGCCTAAATGTGGTCTATTCTGGAGAATGTTCCATGTGCATTGGAAAAGATAGTATACTTGGCTACTGTTTGGTGGAGTGTTCTGTATATGTCTACGAGATCAAGTTGGTTGTTTATGGCATCTAGCTCTTCCGTGTCTTTATTGAGCTTTTTTCTGGATGTTCTGTCCTTCACTGAAAGTGGTATGTTGAAGTCTCCTACTATTATTGTGGAGCTGTCTAGCTCTTTTTTTTAATGTGTTAGAGTTTGTTTTATGTATTTTAGAGCCCTGTCGTTGGATGCGTAAATATTTAGTATGGTTATGTCCTCCTGGTGTATTGACCCTTTAATCACTGTATAGTGTCCTTCCTTATATCCTTTGTGGTGGATTTTACTTTAAAGTCTATTTTGTCAGAGATTAATATTGCCACTTCTGCTCTTTTTTGAGTGTTGTTTGCTTGATGCATGTTTTTCCACCCTTTGAGTTTTTGTTTGTTTGTGTCTTTAAGTCTAAGGTGTGTCTCTTGTAGGCAGGATATAGATGGATCATGTTTTTTCTAACCCATTCTGCCACTCTCTGTCTCATCTTTTTCATTGTAGTAGATTTTGTATTTGCTGAGTCTTTATGTTTTTCTTGTCTTTTATTTTGATGTGTAGGATTGTTAGTTTACTTTCTTGTTACCTTAATATATACCCCTATTTTTCTAAGTTTAAACTACTCTTTTATTTCTTTATATTGCCTTGGCTTTCTCTCCATATAAAAGATCTATGACTACATTTTTTAGTCCCTCTTTTTTGTTTTAACGTTGTGATGTTTTACATATTCATGTCTCTGTTTCCCTATTTTCAGTGTTTCAGCTTTGATTTATTTTTGTGACTTCCCTATCTGGGTTGATATTTGGTTGCTCTGTCCTGTGTTCTAGTCTTGGGTTGTTATCTGACGTTACTGATTTTCTAACCGGAGACTCCCTTTAGTATTTCTTGTAATTTTGGTTTGGTTTTGCAAATTCCCTAAACTTCTGTTTATCTGGAAATGCCCTAATTTTCATCATCATATTTGGGGACAGTTTTGCTGGATATGTAATTTTTGGCTGGCAGTTTTTTTCCTTCAAGGCTTTATATTTGTCATCCCATTGCCTTCTTGCCTGCATGATTTCTGCTGAGTAGTCCTAGCTTAGTCTTATTGACTCTGCTTCGTAGATGACTTTTCGTTTATACCTAGCCACTCTTAAAATTCTGTGTTTATGTTTAGTTTTGACAAGTTTGATTATAATATGTCTTGGTGACTTTCTTTTGGATCTACCTTATATGGGTTTCGGTGAGCATCTTTGATAGGTATCTTCTCATCTTTCACAATACTAGAGAAGTTTTCTGTCACCAAATCTTCAACAATTCTCTCTATATTTTCTGTTATCCCCCATTCTGGTATTCCAGTCGCTCGCAGATTATTCCTCTTGTTAGAGTCACACATCATTCTTAGGGTTTCTTCATTTTTTTGAAATTCTTTTATCTGATTTTTCTTCAAAGAAGTTGGTGTCAAGTGCCTTATCTTCAGTCTCACTAATTGTGACTTCCGTTGCTTTAATTCTGCTCCTATGACTTTCTATTGAGTTGTTTAATTCTGAAATTTTATTGTTAATCCTCTGGATTTCTGATTGCCGTCTCTCTATAGATTCTTGCAGCCTGTTAAATTTGTCATTATGTTCTTTAATTTTCTTGAGTTCGTCTGTTGCTTTGTCCATGTGTTCCTTGGCTGATTGTGCGTTTTGCGTGATCTTCTGATCTCTTGAAGAGTTCTGTGTGTTAATGTTTTGTATTCTACCTCTGGTAATTATAAGACATTCTTATCCTCTGGAAAATTTCTTGATTCTTTGTTTTGGGAGGTTGCTGAAGCCATCATGGTCTGCCTGTTTATGTGATTTGATATTGACTGTTATCTCCATTCCATGAGTACGTTATTGTATGCATTAGTTTTATGTTCGCTTATGGTGTCCTGGCTTCTTGTTTTGTTTTGATATGCCCAAATTAGCTGCTTTTGTGAGCTAGTTTGATTATTGTCACCTTTGAAGTTCTAACATCCCATCACCAGGTGGTTAGATCTGTTACTAGGTATATGAGCCCAGGCGTCTGTTTACTTTTCTTGTATGGATGCAGCTCAGGTGTCCAGGTAGTCGGTCACCAAGTATGTGATGCAGGCTCTCACCTAGATAGGCAGGGGCGGTTGGTGTAGGCACAGGTATCTGGCTGCAGTAGTGGGTCATGTGCTGAACAAGGCAGGGGGCTGACAGCTGCCCCTGAGTGTCTGGGAGGAAAGCTTCTCCCTGTTCCCTACAGCGCATAGGTGGGTGGGTTTTGCAGCCAGATCATGGGCATCACTGCTGTTGGCTGTAAGGGACTGGGAAGCATCACTTATTCTTAGACCCCTGTCACAGATGGCTAGGTGGTGTGGATAGAGCCACCAGTACTCAGGCCCCTCTTGTGGATAGGTGAGGACCCTGCTTGTTGGGCAGAGCAGTGTCAAATGTTACGAACCTGCCACTTCACTGTATAGCTGATACAGATGAAGTTAGGCTTCAGGTATATATCCTGTTGTACTGTGGTAATGAGGGCCTACGCTGTTGAAATGGGCCCACATAGGTCCACGCAGGGGTGAAAGGCATTCATAGTCCGTGGACCCCTTATGCCTGTGCCTAGGCAGAAGATCTGTGCCTACCCTGAGTTCCGGGTTTAGAAGAGCTGGCAGATTATTTTTTCCTATTTGTTTATTTGTTCCCTGTCTAAGGTCGGGAGAATGGCTCAGGGCTGTGACGGGTCCTACTTGTGGCCCAGGGGACTCGGCAATCACTGAAGCTGGCCGGGACCTGGTGCAGAGTGGGGAAGGGGGAGGTAAATGGGAGAGAGGTTTTTCCCAAAGCGGGTGTTTTTTGATCCACGTAATAGGTCCGACGCGTGTACTTATCTTTTGCTGATTGAGCGCCGCTTTTCACTGGTTCTGGAGGCCCGAGTAGACTGTCTGCCAGTCGGGCTCTCCTGGTGTGGCAAACGCTTCCCCAGTGCCAGTGCTTGCTTTACTGTGCATGGCAGCCGATCTGGCCCGAAGGATGTCGGCTCCCACTGGGTCAGGTCTAGCAAATGCTCACTGCTTCCAAACCATGTCTCCCTCCCCTGCCACTCAGTCCGATTTCTCAACTTTGCCTTTGATATTCAGGGCTTCTAGATTATCACATATAATTGATTCACTTTTTTTTGTGAGCTTTTGTTGTAAGAGGGAACACCAGAAGCGTATGGCTCCTCCTCCATTTTGTCCTCACCTCCCTGGAATACAGTTTTAAGAAATGCTGTTTCTTTAAAGCTCCTGATGGCATATAGAGTGTCATGTGGAAAGACATATACATTGATGGCTAAGTGAAAAGTGATTCGGAAGATTCTTCTTATATCTAAAAGGGGAATACATTAGCCAGTTCATTTTGGTTATATTTCCTTGTTACATATGCAGAAAATGTATTTGCCATTAGTTAGAATCTACTCGATGGCAGCTAACAACAACGATAATCAGTAGCTTGGTGTTTCTTCTTTCTTAGTGGTACGTAATTAAATTACAATCAATGACACCTTGGATTCAGTGAAATATGGTATCTGCTTTTCAATATGTAGATGTTTTCACTGCTAAGAAATTTTAATTTTCAAAAAAAATACACTGTTTTGTCTTTGAAAATCACAGTTAAACCAAAAAGCCCTATGTTAAATTGAGAATTGGATATGCTTTGAATCTGAAATGAATACATTTGCTATTTAAAGCAAAGACTTAGTGACTTGAAAAAAAGTAGAATAAAAGCATAAATAGCAATATTCTTATAGCCAGCAAGCTAATTATTATTTTTTATTTTCTCGACCTGGTTTTAAAGAATACAATTTCTGTTCTACTGAGAAGGCAGCGGAAAGCATTTTTATAATATGAGTTCAGTAATTCCTTTGACATTCATTTGTTCTTTTTTTATTCCCAAAGTTTGTTCTCCCTCTTTCCTACCCCCAATATTTGAATGCATATAAATCCTAGCTCCTGTGAGACTATCTCTAAAGCCTGGTTTCCTTATAAAAAGGAAACCGATTCATAGCCAATATGGCAAGATGTCAGTATTTTTGATTTTGATGATGGAACATGGATTTTTTGTTGTATTTTTCTGAATTTGTGAAATACTTTATAGCTTTTTTGAAGGATCATTTTCCTCTTATGATGAAGACTGTGATTTCCAGGATAAAGTAATAATAGCTTGGTGTAACGAAAATTAGGCAAGATTCTGTATCTGTCTTGGAGAAAATATTTGATTTCTTAAATAAAGAAGTTTAATTATTTTCCTTTCTTATGATTACAGGGCTATGCACCACCACCTAAAAATGGGATCGAACAGAAGCGCCCTGGACGCCCCTTGAATATTACATCTTTAGTTAGGTTATCTTCAGCTGTGCCAAACCAGATTTCTATTTCTTGGGCATCAGAAATTGGAAAGGTAAAGGTTCTCTCCCCTGGGGAGCATGAGAGTGACCTCGCTTGGAGTTGATATATTTGCTTTTTCTTAGACTGCTAGCTCTAGCTTGTTCTGTTTCGTGCATGTAATCTCTGAAAAGCAGTAATGTTCAGTTCAACAGGAGAGGTGTGGAGATTGTTAAGGTTAAAAGCTTTAACTCTTAAGTTTTCTTGAGTGTCATCTCTTTTATTTTCCTGGAAGGGATGTATGTATATTTATAATATTTCTTAAGCTAATGGGTTAATTGTAGTTTGTTTGTGTGTGTGTTTGTGTAATATTTTAAGAACTGGGAACTTTGGGTGATGTTATTATTTACCAAGAGAAACACTATCAGCCTTTCGGGGAAATGGCTAAATGTACACATACTGTGATTAGAAATAGTCTGTTCCAGTCTTAAGCAGCTGATCCTTCAGATAACGTGAGCATCTCTTATAAAAATATCTGCTTAGAATTGTATTGTTTCCTCTACACCTGGTTTTAATCCTGGCTTTCTGGGATTCTTAGTCTCAGATTGATGTATTGCATCAAGTAAGAGATACCAATCAATCATTTTAGAATTACTTGTTTATATAACTGTGATAGAATGGGAAAAGAGATTTCAGTTCATTTCTGAACTTCAGTATTTCTTTCATGGACATGAAGAATAATATTCCTGTTTTGTGGATGAAGAAATTGAGGCATATGTTTGTAGGAGCAATTTTTTTATTTCATCGCCAAGGATATTGTAGAGCTAGAAATAAAGAAGAATATTTTTGTATTAATCATCGGACTGTTACTATTATTTTGATGATTGTTCTCTAGACTTCTCATTTCTGAATTTTTTTTTATAACTCATCAGTATATCAAAAGACACTGATTACTAATATTTTTAATTTTCGTGAACTCAGTGTGCAGTGGTAAAACATTGGAAAAGGATTTTAAAAATCTTGACTTAGTCCCAGGTTGACCGTTGTTTGATTTTGGCAAAATTGCTTAAGTCCCTGAGCCCAGTTTATTATAAAGATAAGGTAAAATCTTGAAAGTGGGGATTGTATACAAATGTAAGTGACATTAAATGAGCAAGTATTAATACTTTAAAGCTTTAGTGAGAGGAATTGGAACTGAAGAGTCTTATCTTTTTGAATGATTGTTAACTTGCAGATTTTTAAATGAATGATTATAGACATTAAAGATCTTATAGTTTTGTCATATGATAGGAATAGTATCTTTTCCTTGTAATTAAAATGATTAATTGACCTAAAATGTGTACAATATATTGGATATTCAGATATTTAAAAGGACTGTTGCTGGTTAGAAGACTTTAAAAGAATGATATTTAAAATATTTGGTTTGGCAGCTGTTGAAAGTATTTTGTTTACTGTAGAATCAGTTGGATGAATATATGTAGTGAAATGCTAAGATAGATTGTTTTAGCATTTAGGTAAAATTGTAGCTTATCTACTCATAGCTCTATTAATAGCCAGATTTAAGAGGTACGACATTGGATACTGTTACTATCCTGCCTTATCTTTATTTTTGTCATCTTATGTATCTTATATACTACAGTAACAGCCCCTTCCCCAGTAGAATGCCAATTTGGGGACAGGACTTAGTTTGTCAGAGGTTTTCTCAGAAGAAAGCTGATGTCGGGTTCATTTGAGTGATTAGCTTAAGGCCATGTAGCAGGGGGCTTTTTTTGCCACAGTTAGAACTTTAGAACTCTGGGTTTGAAGTGTTAATTAAGAGCTCCATTACATAAAGTAGCTAAAATCAATTCTGACAGAAGTGGGAATGGATGGTACTCTCATTCATATCACAGGGCTGCTAAGGCACCAGTTTTGCTAAATATACTAGAAACACAGTTTGAAACCATTGGCATATAGTTTTGTTATCTTTCACGTGTGTGTTTTAAAAGTGAGAAGCCCTTTCATATGATTGAGCTTTCATCTTCCTTAAAGTAGCTGAGTTGATTTTCTTCCCTTCCAGTAACTGACCTTCCTGAGAAAGTTATTTTGAATGTTATTTTTAGAAACCAAAGTTTCTTAGACAACTATTTTATGTAAATAAAGAGGTATGTCTCTCATCTTTAATACAGATTATCTTTCTTTGTAGAATTACTCCATGTCTGTATATCTTGTACGGCAGCTTACATCAGCCATGTTATTACAGAGATTAAAAATGAAAGGTATTAGAAACCCTGACCATTCCAGAGCACTAAGTAAGTAATGTTTGTAAGACTGAGCATATGAGATGCTTTAATGGGGGATTAAAAAAAAAAGCCTCACACACACATCAGTACAGGAACAATTTGGGAGCAATTACTAAAGACCTAAAATGGATTTTGTGTTAAAACATGCTCTAAGAATGGAGCCCTGTAAATAGAAAAGCCCTTCTTTTAGCACTCCAGAGAGGATCAGTTTTAAATCCCAACTAGCCTGATCTTTGGCCTTTTTATGAAAACTCTTATTTAGGTAAACATCAGCATAATGATAGTTTTGATGAATACATTAACTTGAGAATAGAAACTTGAGTCTTCAAAACCTCCAGTGTGTAATAGAAGTATATTTTAAAAGATTCTAAGAAACTCTTCTTGCAAAAGAAATGTTGATATCTATCAACAGTATTTGCCTTCTGAGATGTTTAATTTTGTAGTTTCGCTTTCATAATTTGTAGTGGTGGGCAGAGAAAAAAAAGTCTTCAGTAGCCCAAACTGTAAATAATTCAGTTATTGAATTTAATCAAACAAGACATTTTTCTGGGAAAGGGAATCTTTTTCTCCCAATTATCTCCCATACCATTGAATTAACCAGAAAGAGGAAAAGGTTCTAGATTGAAAAGGGGGAGCCCCAGTTAACCAGAGAAGAGATAAAGTTCTAGGTTAAAAAGGGAGTCAGGGAGGGCTACTGAAATGGTACCTTGTCTTGTACACTCATACCTTTTCTCATCTCCTCAGTTGGTCTTCCTGCCTAGAGCAGAAAGCCAAGGAAACCCTTCCCTAGTTTTTCTTGCCCTGCTGCAGTTCCACTGCCTAGAAAGATTAACCAAGCCTCTCCCTACAGTGGTGTTGAGAATTAGGTATCTGAAGGAGAAGATATGTATATTTTTTAGCTTGTATATACAGTAACTGTGTACATTACCTGATAAATAAATCATAGACATACTACCACATCCATGGTAGTTTTCAGTTGTCAAAGAAAGTATAAGAATATTATATTTTCTGCTGATAGATTTAACAATTTTTGGAAGCAACCAGTACTGCCTAATAAAACCAGTAATGAATGTGCGTTAGAAGAGCATCGAAGCTCAGAGTGCTGCTATGTTGTATCTGCGTTCCTTCTCTAGTTGTTGTTTCGTTCTTAAATCTTAATCAGCTTTCTGTTTCAAAACTCTTCCTTACCTGCAATTTTACTTTTAAAAACAAATTTTTAAAATTCAGTTAAACATGAGATGTAGTTAGAGTCTGTGACTTTATAATTTTTTAACCTAATACTGGAAGTATAATTGTGCTTTTAATATCTCTATATTTAATGGTTTATTTTCCTTTTTTTGTTTGTTTGTTTTGTTTCTTGACTTATTTGAGGTGTTTGGGAAATTTTAAACTAAGACGCGTTTCTGTAATACCATTCCTTTGTCAGCATTAATTTTTTTAAATGTTATTTTTTTCCTTCTTTTTAAAGTTAAAGAAAAACTTACTGCAGATCCTGATAGTGAAATTGCTACAACTAGCCTTCGGGTATCCTTGATGTGTCCTGTAAGTAAAGCAGCACAACATGCTGGGGAGTTTTACTTTTTGTAAATTATTTTCCTATAAAGATGAGTTTGGGAATGAATGTTGTATTGTGATGCAACGACTAAACAAGAAGAGACCCTAAAAGGAATCCTACTGGAGAGGGCCGGTAACTTCAGGTTCAGAACACTCTGCCACAGTCAGTACTGTAGAGAATCCACAGCTAGCAGTGCACATATATTAATAGTTGGCTCCTTGTATCAGAATATAAACGGTATTGAAAAATAACAGTAAAATTAGTAGGACCTAATACGTGCTAATTCATGGTCCCAGTTTAGTAACTTCTGTCACCTAGAGGATGTGTGGGATGGCTTCATCTGTTTGTAATATAGTTTTAAATTGACAATTATTTTTACATAGATTCTCTGGAGGGGAATCATTTGGTAACTCTGAGATTGTCCTGTGTGCTTGGCACCACTGAGCTAATCATAGGAGAAAATACTAAAGATTGCTAAGAAGTTGTCAGAAAGTTAATAATCTAGTTTGAGAGAGAAAACAAACTCACATGAAAAAAAGCAAGCAATACTTATTACCAGATATAGCTGTGCTATTGGAGTACCAAAGAAGAGGGGAGAAATCAGAAATAGTGGATGAAGGTTTTAAAATCAGTGTTGGCAGGGAGCCTTTCCAGCTGAGAAGAACTTTGTGAGAAAAGTCATGGCGCCTTGGTGGTGCAGGGGTTAAAGCAATTGACTGCTGACTGAAAGGTCGGCGGTTTGAAACCACCAGCAGCTCTGCCTCTGCAGGAGAAAGACATAGCAGTCTATTTTCATAAAGATTTACAGCCATGGAAACCCTGTGGAGTCACTGTGAGTCAGAATCAACTCGATGACAGTGGGTTTTTTTTTTTTTTTTTTTTTTGTTGTGTTTTTTAATGCCCTAGGCACACTCACTGTGGGAAGGGAATTCACGTCACCTATGTTTTAGTTATGTCAAATTGTTCTATCAGGAAGAAAGTGCTTCTACACAATTTACATAAGGTATTTCTATAGTTATAAATGCCATTTTGTGTAAGTGTTGTTTTCTTAGAACTTGTCCCCCCGCCCCTCCCAACAGACTGTGTCATTCTACATGAGAACATTCAAAACAAAACACAAAGTACATTTCAACCGTGACAGTCTTAATAAAATAAGCAATTTTAAAAACATTAACTTCAAATTATTTGAAGAAGTGAAGTAACAGATCAGATGGTTTTTGATCCTGTTTCAAGTTCATTAAAGTTTTTTTCTTCCTCTGCTTAAGAGTGACAACAGGTCTGTTTTGGATATCTTTTGAGCCTTTCCTCAGTATTCATCCTATCTGATATTTTTCTGAGGAAAGAATGAACAGTATTCTTTGGGCTATGGTGGTGCGATGGTCAGGTGCTTGGCTGCTAACTGAAAGGGTGGCAGTTCGATCCCACTATCCACTCTGGGAGAAAAGACCTGGTGATCTGCTTCCATAAGGATTACAGCCTAGGAAACCGTATGGAGTAGTTCTACTGTGTCCTATATGGTCACTGTGATCGGAATCAGCTCAACAGCCCACAACAAAATGCTAATATAAAGTTTGGTACCTATACTGTAGTATATGATACATATTAATTAGGAAACCAAGCACAGGTGTTTTGACCTGATTTGACAGATGAATAACAGAACTTAGATGATGAAAGTAGCTTTTGGGAAGAAGAAAAGAAGTAGCTTTTTTGGAAGAGACATACAATACTACTATCAGTTGAAGAAAGCAGAAGGGAGTACAACCAGTTGATTTTAGAAATAACACAGGATCAGATACAATGACAGTGGAGATGGAGAAGAAAAAAATTGGATCACAGACACTTGGAAGGAAAGGAGTCGAACCCTGGGTTTATTTTGCAAAAAATAAAGGAGAGAAAATTGTAGCCTAGGATGGTGCAAGAAATGTTGCTAGTTATACTTCCCAGTGTTTATAAAATGATTTGAGTAGGCGTGAGTGGATAGTGGAAGCAAATTCCAAAACTTCTGCCCTTGGACCTAAGAAAAGTAATTTTAAAGTAGATTTGAAGAAAGCTCTGATGGAGTTACATCATTATATTCCTAAACAGAAATCTAAATTTTACATGAGTGTTTTACTTGTGTAATGTCAGCTGTGATTTTCAGTCTTTCCTGCTGAGGTAGGGTGGGTGACTGGGGGATATAAAATGAAGAGTTTGGATTCTGATGTGTGTGTGTGTAAGTATATGATATATATAATTAGTGTATAAAATATATATAGTGTATAATATATATATTTAAGGTTCTGTTGCTGAGAATTGTTTGAAAACCACTGACTCGAGCCATTTTTACTTATGAACTTTTTCTTAATTAGATTGATACTAATTATTCCATAATGAAGTGAAAATCAATTTGGATATTGTCTGCTTAACATTTTATTAATTAAAAAATAAGTGTTGTGTTGGTCTGAAACAATTTCACTCGTAAAAACAATACATTTCAAAATAACAGCCATCACATGACTAAATTAGAATTTAGCACATTCAAATCTTTTTAGAAAATGTACCATAATCAGTATTAGGAAATCAATTAGATTTTGCCAGTGAATAATAAATGCCTCTTAGACACTTAGGGAATCCTCATTAACTCTTGTAGGACACCAAAGTACAATTAAATTTAGGGTCAAAAACTTATGTAGTCTTGAATGTTGTCACTGTGTGTGCTGTGGAAATTCAAAGGCAGTGATAGGAGAGATGAAAATAGCATAGAAGAAGAAAAAAAAAAGTAACAGTTCTCAAAGTGTGGTCGAAGGATATCTGGGAGTCCCTAAGACTCTGAAGAGGTCCACAAAGTCAAAACTATTTTTATAATAATACTGAGACGTTGTCTTTTTTACTCTCATTCTTTCAGGACTATACAGTGATGTTTAACAGGGACTACCTGCCAAGTGATGGTATCATTGCTCTTCTGGCGAATGGAATGTGTTCCTGTGTATTCTTAAGTTTTAAAAATGTCTGTTTTAATTCCTAATAAAACAGATATTGATAAATATCACCCACATACATAAAAACTCTGAAGTTTTTTTAAAGAGTATAATTTTTAAGTGTAAAGGAGTTCTGAACCAAGTTTGAGAACCAGTGGCCTATGAAAACAACAGTGGGCTGAGTTAGAGCATTACTATAAAGAAAAAAATTTATAAAAATTGACAAATAATACTTATAAAATTATCCAAATATAACAAAAGCATTAAAAAAAAACACAGTGGCCTATGAAAACAATAGTGGGCTGAGTTAGAGCATTACTTTAAAGAAAAAAAGATAATAAAAATTGACAAATAATACTTACTATAAAATTATCCAAATATAGCAAACGCATAAAAAATGAAAAATTTTTATTACCACGGTCTGCTATTCAGAGGGACCCCTGGTGACTTAGTGGTTAAGAGCTTGGTTGCTAACCAAAAGGTCAGCCATTCAAATCCATGAGCCGCTCCTTGGAAATCTTATGGGGCAGTTCTACTCTGTCCTGTAGAGTTCCTAGAAGTCGGAATCAATTCGACAGCAGTGGGTTTCAGGTTTTACTGTTTAGAATTAATGCTGTTACTAATAGTATTATATATATCTTTGTAGATTTAACTCTCTGTGTTCATAATTATATATATTTATTAAAAAATACATTATGCTGTATATATGCTATATATATGTATACTATTCAGTGACTTGCTTTTTTCATTAACAGTATATCTTAAATACGTTGGTACATGTAGCTCTATCTTATTTTAATCACTGCAGACATTTTGTTGCATGGGTGTGGTGTAACTTATTCAGCCTTTTTTAGTGATTATTTGAGTTGTTGCCAAACTGATTTTATAAATAAACAAATTCACATATTGATGGAAAATTCCTAAATAAAACACCAGCAAATATGATCTAGTACTATTTTAAAAGAATAATACATGATAACAAAGAGGACTTCATCCTAGAAATGCAAAGATAGTTTGATTTTAGAAAATTTAAGGTTATTTATCTTAATAATTGAAAAGGAAGAAAACTTGTGATCATCTCATTAGGTGCTAAGTAGGCATTAGTTTCATTTCTGATAGAACAGAAACTCTTAGGAAAAGAGGAAAAAGTGAATCATTCAAACCAGAAGCTAAAATGTTATAAAACTAGGAAGGTTGTCATGAAAGTGAGGTTTAAGTTTGGATTCGTGTTATAGCTCCATGCTGTATCTCACTGAATGTGTTGCTTACCCTTCTGTAGCCCCAGGAGCTTAATTTCAAAAATAGAAATATAGATACCAGCCATTCCAGGGTTATAGGGTTGTTATGAAGATTATATGAAATTTATGTGAAAGCTCTTAGTAACACCATAACATTGTAAGATTCTAGATAACTTAGGGCATAATTTGTTATTAAAAGAAGGGAGAATATAGAAGCAAATGTTGCAGGAAGGGAAGTAGCCTCAGGTTCTGTTTTTTTCAGTTCTAAATAATGAGTTATATTGTGCTTCATATTTGCATGCATCACTTTAACTTCTAAAATCCCTTTTAGAAGTCTGGGTAGACACTTAGGTAGAGGCAATATTGCACAGTGATAAGACTCTGAAGCCAGAGTTCCTGAGTTCAGATCTTGGCTCTGCCACTTGCTAACTTTGTAATGTTGGCCAAGTTACTTAGCTTCTTTGTGCCTCAGTTTCCTCATTTGTGACATGGGGATAATATTAACCTTATAGTGTAAGCATTAGTTACTGTTATGGGGATGATTTGGCTAAATTGCTTTCTTTTTAAATTCTACAATAACCAAATGCTCAATTTAGAAAATTTAGAAATTACAGATAAGCCAAAAGAAAAAAGGAACAGTAGAAAAAAATCTTACTACCCAGACAGAGTTAGCAGTGCTATAATTTTGCTGTGAATTCTTTCAGACCTTATAGTGCATGTGAAAAAGTCCTTTCCTCTTCCCTTCCTTTCTCTTTGCGTCTTATCCAATCTTTTGTTTATTCTACCCTCTGGCCAGCAAGTACTGAGCATACAGTATGTGCTAGGTTCTGTGCTATACAACAAGGGGATTGATTATAGTGGTGAACAGAGATACAGATCCTGTCTTTGTGGAGTTTAGGGTCTAGTGGAAGAAACAAATTGTTAATCAAAATAACACAGAGGTGCTTATCAATAGATAATTTCCTATGAAGGAAATATATAGGGTGGTTTTAAAGATTATACGGAAAAACTTCACCTGATCTCATCTGGATCTGTGTATGTCTTAATTTTGGTATACCTCTATCAATTGGAATAAGAGTTGAACAGAGCACTATAGTTATATAAATGTATCTTGAAAATTTGATACGTTTGATTATATAAAAGTAAAATTTTCATAAACGAAACATATTTGTGATTTGTATCACACACGAGGCTGGATTTTTTTTAATATAAAGAGCTCTTATAGATAACAAAAGATTAATAACCAAATGGAAAATGAGAAAAGGTGATGAATAAACATTTCTTAGAAACACAATGACTCTTAGTAGTAGAAAGAGGCCCAACTTTGGTTATAATAAGAAATGTAGCTCATAACTATAATGGGATATTTTTCACCTACCAGATCGGCAGAGATCAAATAATTCAATAGACTATGTTGACAAGGGTGAGGGTGTCCAAGCACATTAATACGTGTGTATGTGTAAATTGGAGTCCTGGTGGCAAAGTGGTTAAGAGCTCAGGCTGCTAACCAAAAGGTCAGCAGTTCAAATCCACTAGCTGCTCCTTGGAAACCCTATGGGGCAGTTCTACTCTGTCAATATGAGTCGGAATCGCCTTGACGGCAGTGTTTTTTTGTTTAGTTTATGTGTAAATCAGTATGTATAACCTCTGTGGAAGGTGTTGTCAGTATGACAAAAATCACAAATATGCTTTCCCTTTGACCCAAAAATTTCACTTCTAGGAATTTTCCTACAGATATTTATTGCAGTATTGTTTGTAGTGATAAAAGATTGGAAACAATTTCAATGTCTGTCACTAGGATACTGGTTAAATAAATTGATACCTTCTTATAATTGTAGCTTTTTATATACTGATATATGTGAAATAGTCACCAAGATATATTATGTGATAGAAGGTGCAGAATAGTGTATAGCATGCCACCATTTATGGGAAAATATTTTTTAAAATATACACTTGTATATGCGTGGAACATCTACAAAATGGAATGCAAGAGATGGATAACAGTGCTTCTCTCTAAATAGGGAATCTGGGGGACTGGGTGAGAAGGAGACTTGTTTTCACTGTACATGTGTCTTTTTCTACTGGTGGATTTACACGTTAACTATTTTGAAAAACTGAAGTATTTTAAAAATAATAAGGCACTCAACGAATGGAAGTAGAATATATAGTGATCTTGATGGGAATAAAGTCTGATTTGGATTTCTTTTTCACCATGATCTTCTATGACTGTGTTCCCTTTGAGGCCTTGATCTCCTTTCTGAAATAATTTTCCTTGTTGTGTTCCCTGTACTGTAGTTAGGAAAAATGAGGCTGACAATCCCATGTCGTGCAGTGACTTGTACACATCTGCAGTGTTTTGATGCTGCTCTTTATCTACAAATGAATGAGAAGAAGCCCACCTGGATTTGTCCTGTCTGTGACAAAAAGGCTGCCTATGAAAGTCTAATATTAGATGGGTAAGTATCCCTTTTAACAGCTATTGGTCATGTCTCCATTCCGTACAGCCTCATATCAATTTTTCTCTAGCATAAAGTCCAGATGTTTATGTCTTTCCTGCTTAATTCTTAATTATTCTCAATCTTATTTTTGTTTTAATTTTATTGTGGTAAAATACATACAACATAAAATTTGCTGCTTTAACCATTTTTAAGTGTATAATTTATTGACATTAGTTATGTTCACAATGTTGTATAACCATTACTACTACCTATTTCCAAAATGTTTTCATCACCCCAAACAGAAAGTCTGTATTCATTAAGCAATAACTCCCTGTTTCTCCCTCACCCCAGCCCCAAGTAATGTTTAATTTACTTTCTGTTTCTATGAATTTGCCTTTTCTTGTTACTTTATGTATGTAAGTGGAACCATCCAATACTTGTCCTTTTGTGTTTGACTTATTTCACTTAACAGTATTTTTAAGGTTCATCCCATGTTGTAGCTGTGCTAGAACATCGATCTTATTTTCAAACTGGTTTAAAAAAAAAAAAAAGAAAAACCATTGCCATCGAGTCAATTTTGACTCATAGCGACCTTATAGGACAGAGTAGAACCTGCCCCATATGGTTTCCAATGAGCACCTGGTGGATTTGAACTGCTGACCTTTTGGTTAGCAGCCGATCTCTTAACCACTTTGCCACCAGGGTTTCCAATTAAACTGATTAGTGGCTCCTTTTATCTCTATAATATGATTTGTGTTGGGGGAAAATGGTGTGTAGTTTCCTTTTATTTTTGCTTTCCAAGATCATGTTTTATATCCCATAGGAAACTCAGTCCATTTAATGACACTATTTTGGTTGCCTAGAACTTCTTGAAAAGGCAACTAAGGTCTAGGCAAAGAAGGCAAAGAAAGTGATAGGATAGATCAGTCACATGCAGCTAGTAAGTTCGAAACTGGAATTCACTGCCAGGTTTTTCTGACTGTAAAGCCCAAATTCTTAAGCATTATCTCTCGTATCATATTACATATGTGAGAATTTGGAAAATGGTGTAACCTAATTAATTATATCATTAATTATAATTAAGTGGGATATCCGTTTTTTCAAATAACACTTTTAAAAATTGCATATGTAATACATGGCTCTAGTGTTTAAGATTTTAGAAATACAGCTTATAAAAAGCTTAAATTAGAAATCATCAACAATACCATTCTACAGTGATGACTTTGTTTTTGACGTATTGAAAAGATTGAAATCATACTCTACATGATGATTTGTGTCCTACTTTTTCACTCAGTATATAGTGAAAAATATCCTAGGTCTTTAAGAATACTTGTACAACTTTTTTTTTTTTTTTTAAGAGTTTATTACTATGGAGAGGAGCAGGGCAGTGAAGAGTGGATGGGACTTTCACTTTTCTTTCCAAATTTATGGTGGTGCTGGGTTTTTACTTTTGTAATCTTTAACTTCTTACTTTGACATAATTTCAAACTTACAGAGAAGTTGCAACAGCAGCACAAAGAGCTTCGTGTGTGACTTTGACCCAGATGGACCAATTGTTAACATTTTGCTACGTTTGTTTTTATCACATTCTCTCTGAATATGTATGTATACACACTTCTGAGTATGTGTGGAGAGAGAGAGAGATTCCCCCCCTTCCTCCAATTCATTTGAGTAGTTTGAGAGTAAGTTGCATTATGTCATTCATATCCCTTTGCCTTTTATTTTAAGGAATATTTTATAAATACTTGATATTCCATTGTATAGATACACCACTAATCATTAAAACTTTTTTCCTTTTATTGCCTATAATGTTTATTTCTACTCTTTTTCTATTTTAAGTTGTCCTGTAATGTGAACATTTTTGAAGCTGATTCTTTGTGTATGTGTTTGGGTTTTTCCTTGGACATAAGGTCTTAGAAGTAGAAGTGCTGAGTCAAAAAGAATGTATTATTTTAAGGCTTTTAGTATTTATTATTAAGATACCTACTAGAAAGAGTACAATATTTTTTACCCTTATAGTTAATCATTTCACTCTCCTGCAGCAGTGTGTTAGAATGTCCATTTGTCAGCCTTCTTACTAGCCTTACATATTAAATCTTATTTTTAAAATTTCCTAGTTAAAAAGATACTGTTTCAGTTTCTGTTTCTTGTATTATAAGAATTATCAGCCATTTCTTCACACATATGTTTGTCATTTTATCTTCTTGGAGTTGCCTCTTAATTGTTCCTTTTTTCTATGGGGGTGTTTCTTTTTCTTACTGATTTATAAATGGTCATTGTATGTTAAAAGATATTAATTTCTCTTTAAGTATGTGGCAAATGTGTTTTTCTCATTCAGAAACTTTAAATTTTGATTTCATCAGATGTTTTTTCTTTTTGAATTTCTGCCTTTAATGCATTTAGGAAGTTCCAGAGATTTTATATAAGCATTCACTTTATTTTTTTACAAGTACTTTCATGAACTCATTCAAACTAGTACTTATTGAAAACCTGTTATGTGTCAGACATTGGGTCTAAAATGGTGAACAGTGCATTTCTAGTGTGAGACGGTAAAAAAATTACATATTGTGTTAAGTTCTCTGAAGGTAAAGAATGGGACTGTGAGAAGAATTGGGACTATGGAACAAACTTCAGGGTGAGAGAAAGGCATTAAGGTAGGAACTGCTCACAACACAAACCTGTCAGTAGTCTCAACGTTTACTGGATAATCTCTCCCATGAACTTGAGATACTGTGCCTGCATCGTGTAATTCTTATATATACCCATATTAATTTCTGAGGTGTTAAATTTTCTTCCATTGATCAAAGTATTAGTGAATCAGTACAAAACTATTTTAATTATTGGATTGTGTTAGTATCTGTTAGGGCATTTCTTTTCAGAATTTTCTTGAGTAGTATCAGAATTTATTTTGCCTTATTCACTTGGGTAAAAATATTCTCAAATTACACCATCCAGTCCTGTTTGGATTTTGATTGGAATTATGTTAAGCTTTTAGTATAATTGGGGAAAAAAACATCTTTAAAGTATTACATCTTCTCATGAAGGAGGTATTTTTTTCCTATTTTTATAAGCGTTATTGAGATATAATTGGCAAACAGAGGAACTGCACATAAGTAAAATGTACAATTTGATCAATTTAGACCTGTATATACACCTGTGAAATCATCGCCACAATCAAGATTGTGAACATACTATGAAACCCACAACTTTCTTATGTGTCTTTCTAATCCCTCCTCCTACCCTGTGCCTGGGTAAACAGTGATAATGCTGTTTGTATAGATTAGTTTGGATTTTCTAGAATTTTAAATGAATGGAAGCATAAAATACATACTTCATTTGTCTAGCTTCTTTTACTTAGAATAGCTATTTTGACCTTCATCCATGTTGCTATGTATACCAATGGTTCATTCATTCTACTGTTGAGTAGCATTCTGTTGTATAGATATACCACAGTTTATCCATTCACCTGTCAAAGGATTGTTTCTGATTTTGAGCTATTATAAATAAAACTGCTTTGAACATTTATGTCCAAGTTTTTGTGTGGATTGATGCTTTCGTTTTTCTTGTGTAAATACCTGGAGTGGAATGACTGGTCACATGTTAGATTTATGTTTGACTTTTAAAGAAACTACCAAACCTTTCCAAAGTGGTTCTGTCATTTTTTTGTTCCCATTAGCAATGTATGAGAGTTCCACTTGCTTCACATCCTCACCAACATTTGGTATGGTTTTTATGTTGTTGTGTGCCGTCGAGTCAATTCTGACTCATAGCGATCCAATGGAACTACCCCCATAGAGTCTCCTAGGCTGTAGTCTTTACGGTAGCAGATCACCAGCTTTTTTCTGCTGCAGAGGGCTGCTGCCTGCTTCTTGGTTAGCAGCTGAGCACTTAACCATTGTGCCATCAGGGCGCCTTTTGGTACGGTTAGTCTTTTTAATTTCATACATCCTAGTGGGCATATAGTTGGAGCCCATTATATGTGGATTTTATTTGCATTTCCCTTATGACTAATTGGAGCACCAGTGGCACAGTGGTTAAGAGCTCAGCTGCTAACCAAAAGGTCAGTAGTTCAAATCCACCAGCTGCTCCTTGGAAACCCTATGAGGCAGTTCTACTCTGTCCTGTAGGGTCTCTGTGAGTTGGAATCAACTCCGTGGCAATGGGTTCAGTTTTTTTTTTTTTTAATGACCAGGTACATTGAGCATTTTTTCACGTTTAATTATATTGAGCATTTTTTCATGTGTTTATTCCCAATCGGTATTGTCGTCTTTGGTGAAATGTCTTTCCGTACTTTTCCCCATTTTTTAATTGGTTGGCTTGTTTTCCTATTATTGAGTGTTTAAAATTCTTTATATATTATAGATACAAGTGTGTTAATCAGATATGTGATTTGCAAATATTTTCTGACAGTTTATCTTTTCAGTATTTTAATAGTATCTTCCAAAAAACTGAAATTCTTAATTTTGGATGAAGGCCAATTTATAGTTTTTGTTTTACTGTTTGTGTTTTTGGTGTCATATTAAGACATTTTTCCTTAACCCAAGGTCACAAAGATTTTCACTATACTCTCTTTAGGAGTCTTACGATTTTAGATTTATGTTTACATCTATTACCATATCAAGTTAATTTTTATATATGGTGTGTGGTAAGGATCAAGGTTCATTGTTTTTGTTGTATGACTGTGCAAGTTTTCCTGCGCCATTTGTTGAAAGTATTGTCTTTTCCTCATTACATTTCCTTTGACCATGAATGTGTGGATCTATCTTTGGTCTGTATTCTGTTGCGTTGATTTATTTGTCAATATATAAATACTGCACTAACTGAAAAATAGGTTTTTTGTTTTGTTTTGTTTTTTTTGTCCTTGTCTACTAAATTTATCACCTGTTTTGCTTTTTTATGGATGATTTTCTATTTTGGATTGTATTTTCCTGCTTATTTGCATGCCTGGTAATTTTTGATTGGATGCTAAGACCTTGTTGTGCTGGGTATTCATGTAGGCTTTTTTTTTTTTTTTTTTTTTTGATGTTTTTCACGTTTGTTATGGGACACGTTTCGGTTTTTTGGAAATAGTTAAATTCTTTCAAGGCTTGCTTTTAGTCTTTCTGGGGTGACATCAGAGAAGCCTTTAGTCTAGAGGCAATAGGACAGGGTAGAACTTGATAACTTTTGACCTGTACGTACACCTGTATATTTCCTTCTGAGTTCCGTATCCAGTGTACTATTACAAGATTTTCCCGCCAGGCTTTTGACAACACCAGCTATTCCTAGCCCTGTGTGAGCTCTGGGGATTATTTCTCTGCTTTTTAAGGGGTTGTTCTTTCTGTGATCTGGGAGCTTCTTTACATATGTGCCCTGGTCAGTACTCTGCTGAAGACTGAGGAGTAGACCCTGTGCAGACCTTTGGAGCTCTCTCTGTTCACCTTTCTCCTCTCTGGCACTCTGTCCCATTAACTCTCGCTGCCTTGGCCTCCATTTACTCTCAAATCAATCTTCTCAATTTAGGAAGACAACCAGCCTCCCCTTTGGGCTCCCTCTTCCTGGGAGACAGTAAATAGGAGCAATTGTTGGGCTCATCTCTTATTTCCTCTTCTCAGGGGCCCACTATTCTGCGATGCCTGTTGTCTGGTGTCTGAAAAATCATTGTTTCATTTATTTTCTGGGGTTTTAGTTGTTTAAGGCCAGAGGGTAAGTTTGGTTCCTGTATCTCCATTTTCACCAGAGATGGAAGTGACCCCTTTTCTTTTTTGAAAGCTTTTTTCCACAGTAATAATCTTTCTTTTTAAAAAGTTTTTTTTTCCAATAATAATTCTGCTCTTCGAAGTATTAACAATTTAGCTGATCATTTAATGAAAACTGTAAAGAGGTTGACTTCATAGCTCTAAGAAGTTTTCTACTACGCATTTGAAAATAGGATGTCTAAAATTTAGGTAATAAAATACCTAGAAGATGTCAACTAGCATTCTTGTTTGTCACCATCATAGCTTCTATCAACTGTTTAATTTTAAGCAGTTAACATTGATTGACATAAGGACAAGTTCTTGTTGGCACTGTTCATTCCTTATACAGTATCTTCAATGTAATTTCCCATTGATTGGCCTTGTAGATAAGAAGATTTATTGGCTCTTTTAAGAGTGTGTGTTCAACACAACTCTCACATGCAAACGCATTCTCACACTCTCACGGTCATTATTTTTGTCTGCAGATTTTCTTATGCGATTACATTGTCCATACTGTATAATAATAACTGCTTTTGTTACTTGTTAACAGTTGTTTATTTCTGACCATCTGCAAACATTTGAGAGCTTGAATTACCAAGGTAGCATAGCTACTAGGGGTCTTCTTTGTGGTTCACAGTGTCATACGATGTAGAGTCTGTGAAAGGTATATGGAATCAAATTTAAGAGTTAAGTGTAATATCCAGGGAACAGTATAGGTCAGCATATAATGAATAATCTTTTGATAAAATACTGTTAATTGTTTGTAATGATAATTTGTTTCTGGTTTTATTTGCATCAGTGTTATAATTGAATTTAACTTCTAATGTTAATTCAAGCTGTAAAATGATACAGCTCTTTTATTGTTGTCACGGTGTACTACGCTTTAGATTAAGTTGTGTGATTATAATGCTGTCAAGAGTTCCAACTCCTCACTCGCTATTCCACTGCCACGATCCTTCCTTTTTGATATTAAGCTTTTAAATTATTTTTCGTGTAAGGACCTGTATGTTTGCTTGTGTTTGTTTTACGTGTTGGCTTGGAGGTAGTTCTTATGGCTAATCTTAGCTAGGAAACTCCAGGTGTCTATTTCTGTTTAGCCACTGATTTTTTTTTTGAATGATACTCAGTAAGTCACTCAACTTTCTTATTGCCTATTACAAATCTAAAACCTAGGTGGGGAGTGGATAATACTTGTTGTAAAGCGTAAAGTGTTGAAATACCTAAAAACAAAATTTCAGGTAACATTACTTTTGTCTCCAGGATAATGTGTATTGCTTTGTTATCACCTTTGAACAAAGCCATTGATTACATTTATGTACTTCTTAATTGGTTTATAGGCTTTTTATGGAAATTCTCAATGACTGTTCAGATGTGGATGAAATCAAATTTCAAGAAGATGGTTCTTGGTGTCCAATGAGACCGAAGAAAGAAGCTATGAAAGTATCCAGTCAGCCGTGTACGAAAATAGAAAGTATGTTCAGAGTGGCAGCAGACAGCGAAGCCATGAAAGTTGTGCAGCATTCCTTTTATCATTAACCTTGACCGCTAGAGTGCCATTTGGTGCTCTGTTTGCTAACTTACATCTTCTGATCATCAGCTGCACATGTAATTTTCCCCAAATGAATTTTATTCTTTCGTTAAGAAGTGTGCTAAAATTTACACTGAGAGTATGGACCCTGGACACCCTTTTAACTCAGTACTGAAGTCACTCTTGAGGTTCACCCTTCAGCCAGAGATTAGATAGGCCCATAAAACACAACGAGACTAAACGGATACACCAGCCCAGGGACAAGAACTAAAAGGCAGGAGGGGACAGGAAAGCTGGTAATGGGGAACCGAAGGTCAAGAAGGGGAGAGTGTTGACAGGTTGTGGGGTTCACAGCCAGTGTCACAAAACAATGTGTGTGTGTATTGTTTAATGAGAAATTAATTTACTCTGTAAACCTTCATTTAAAGTACAATTAAAAAGAAAATGCAGTGTGCTCAAATTTATACCATTTTATAACCAGCCTTTTTGTAGTATATTTTTAATGTGTAAAGTAAATGAAATAATTACCTAAAGTTATTTTAACATATGGTGAGTGTTATAAAATGAAAAGTTATAGGTGACATTTTGTGGACAGTTTTCCAGAATTGTTTTTAGAGTACCTGTTTGGATACTGTGTTGGGGGAACCCCAAATGGAGGTGTGGTTTGATAGGCCTCATCATCTAATAGAATTGTGGGGCGGTTGCAGGGTAATTGCTAAGAAATTGAACACATTGTTTCCTTCTATTTCTTTGTGTGAAGAAATTTGACTGTTGCATTGGCTTCCTAGGATGTATACTCAGCCTTCAACTCTGCCACCTGTGCACACTGAGTGGGGGAAAATTGAAACCCACAGTTGAACTTAAAAAGTTTCTTTTTATCTAACACAGTCTCCTCACTGTATCTGAATTGTGTTCTAACTATATTTGAAGTTCTAACAAACAATATAATGAATAATAGATGTTCAGAGTGAGAAAAGAGAAAAAAGGAAAGGATTTATGCCAATATTAATTTTTCCACTGTGATTGGTATTTAACCTAAGACTGGAGTAACCACAGCTTCCTTCATCTTTGAGAAAAATAAAGGGATTTAGATGATTAGTTGCTGCTGCTTTTCCATTATCAACTAGCATTCATTTTCTACTAAGTAGATTATAGTCTATACTGATGTATTTGCCCTGAAATGGTGAGGTGATATGTGTTGTATGAGACTGTCATAATGGGCAGAAAGGAGAACCTGTTTGATTAGGAGATATTGATAAGAAAAGCTTTACATGTCTGAATAATTAGGTTTGAAGCTTGGATTTTTTTCAACTTATCAAGGTGAAAATTTTTATGAAGTTCTGGCATTTGGTGAAAAGTAAGTACATTCTTTGACATGCATCTTAATTCTTCCCCCCTACGTGCAGGTTCAAGTGTTCTCAGTAAGCCTTGCTCAGTGACTGTAGCCAATGAGGCGAGCAAAAAGAAAGTGGATGTTATTGACCTAACAATAGAAAGCTCTTCTGATGAAGAGGAAGACCCTCCTGCCAAAAGGAAATGCATCTTTATGTCAGAAACACAAAGCAGCCCAACCAAAGGGTTTGTTAATTTATAGTTCACTATTGATCGTTACACTTGCAACTAACTCTTCTTGGGATAGATTTGTAAATGTCTTTTTGAGATGGTACGTAGCCATAGAAGGTAATTTAATTTGCCTTTGTTTGATTGAAATATTTTCAAATAAGCATGTTGTTTATAGGAAAGCAAATTTGATGAAAATATTTTCATCTTTGAGAAGTGAGCATTTGGGCTCTTATGTCTGAGAATATATTTCATACTTGAAACTTGTGTCATTTTCTTGAACCCATTTGCAAGGAGTAAATTTGGCATCTCAGACAAACATGAGGAAGCCTGGTGTAATGGAGTATGGAATCTGACAGTTACGGATTCTAATTCTGGCACACCACTTACTCATTCTACGATCTTGGATGAAATATTTAACTTGTTTGAGCCTCCTTTTTCTGTTCTGTAAAACGGGGTTAAATAATACCTATCTCATAGGATTATTGTCAAGTTTCAATGACATAATGAAGAGCTTAGCCTTGGTGTCTGGAACATGATAGTTTCTCAATAAAAATTGATTCCCTTCCCTTCCCACTCTCTCCAGGGGAAAATCTGGGCAAGTAAATGCGTTCGAGAATCTATTCTTTATGATTCATCTGGCAGACGCCATTACTGACAGGTCTGAGTATTTAGTAATAAATGGTTTTTACAGTGAGATTTCGAAAACCTTCAAGGAAGGAGCAGGGGGTTCTCCTGACATCCCATGAACACAATCTTTCAAACCTGGATGTGCCAGTCTGTATAAATTGCAGCTCCCTACCACATTCCATGAAGTCAACTGCATTTACACAACACCCATACAGAACAACTCTTATGAAACAGTCTCACATAGAAACATAAATGAAAATTCTAAATTCAATATTAGGAAGTCATTCAATTATATATTAAAATGACATCGCCTGCCACCAAGTAGGGTTTATCATAGGAAGGCTTTAATATTAGGAAATATATTGATAAAATGGATCTGGTCATCTTAATAGATGCTGAGAAGGCATTTGATAAATTAATAGTCATTCCTGATAGAAACTCTTTAAAACCTCAGAATTCATTGAATGGTTTGAAGGGATCAGCACTTAAGTTAATTTGTTCTTAGGCAGCATTAATAAAAGAAGCATAGTGTCCAGGACACATACCATGCCAGTTTTACTCCATTTTGGGCTAGATGGCTCTCAGTCAGAGCATTGTAGTTATTGCTGATCATCAAGAAGGGTATTAACAAACGATTGCAGCCTGAGAGGGCAGGGGGGACCAGGGTGGTAAATATGGTGGGTGAATGGGTCCAAAGACTGAAATGCTAAACCTGGAGAGAGGGTATGTTATAGCTGCTGTGTAGTTAGTAAAAAGAAGTTATTGACTAGCTGGATTAAAGTTTATTCTTTTTTATGACACTTGGTCCAATGGAGGAGAGATGCTGAATACTAACAAAGTTGATGTCTTGTCACTGAGGTAGAGTAGATGTCACAGTATCATAGTAGAGATTCATGTTTTGGTTATATCCCTTCTGTGATCCGTTACAACTCTTAATACTTTTGTGGTTTTGTTCCTGTCATCCTTGTCACATGCCTTCTGTGGCTCAGCATCTAAAATTTTTATGGTTTTCCTCTGCTGTGTAAGTGTAACATAGGAGTTCCGGGTAAGTGGTTTTAAACAAGTATGAAAGAATAGAGAATGAGAAACCAAGAAAACTTATTTTGACTTGCAATCCAGAATTTATGTGAACAGCTACTTTTTTATTTACTGTTGTAGTAAAAATTATAAACATTTACAAAGCACCAAGAAGAAAGTAAAAAACCATTCCACTGTTAATATTTTGATGGCTATTTTTCTAGCCCGTTTTTATCTTTGAATACCTACTGTAGTATTTAAATGCAGTCATATAATACCCAGCATTTTGTAACTCCAAAAAAACCTCTTTCAAGGAAACTTTTTTACTATCATATCTGCGTGATATGAGGTGGTTGAATCTGTAATGATAATAGAAGTATTATTATCCTTAAGAAGAACATAGTTTGTTTAAGAACAACATAGTTTTTATCCTGGACAATTATATCGAATTAATAACTTGCGTCAGGTATTATGTGAAGAAGCCCTAGTGGTGCAGTGGTTAAGCACTTGGCAACTAACCAAAAGACTGGTGGTTTGAACCTACCCAGTAGCACTCAGGAGAAAAGACCAGGTAGTCTGTTCCTGTAAAGATTACAGCCTAGAAAACCCTATGCGGCAGTTTTCCTCTGTCACATTGGGTTGTGCTATGAGTCAAAATTGAGTTGATGGCACCTAACAACAACAAGGTATTCTATAGTTAAGAAATTGGTACATTAATATAAGACTTAGAAAACATCTGACTTTTTTTTTTTTTTTTACATTCAAAGAATTTTAAATATTTTTCTCTTATCCCACCCTCTGGTAACTGAATGATTGCTTTGTCCTTAATAAGAGGGTATTCCAAAGACAGGAAAAAAAGAATAGGGGTAAATATGTATGTAACTAGATTAAGAACCATCAGATATTGGTAAGAAAATTAAATTTCTTTTATATTTTATGGTTGCACTATGGGCACACTCAGAGAATTCTAGGTTTATGAATAAAAATTCAAGTTACTGAATTGTTAGCCCATATTCAGACATTTAAGTATGGGCCAAGTATGATGGATTTCATGCAGTTCCTTGATCTAGATCACAATCAGAATACTAATACCTGCTACTGGCAGCATTCCAGTAAATTTACTTTTGTGTCCTAATGTTATGAGCATAAGCTATAAAGTTTTAAAATAAATATGTACGCGTGATAGAAATACCATATGATCTAGCAATCCCACTCCTAGGAATATGCTCTAGAGAAATACGAGCCGTCACACTAATAGACAGATGCACACCCATGTTTATTGCAGCATTATGCACAATGGCAAAAAGATGGGAACAACCTAAGTGCCCATCAGCAGATGAATGGATAAACAAATTATGGTACATACAATGGAATACTACGCAACAATAAAGAACAATGATGAATCCGAGAAACATCTCACAACATGGATGAATCTGGAAGGCATTATGCTGAGTGAAATAAGTCAGTCACAAAAAGACAAATAACAATATGAGAGTGCTATTATAAAAACTCAAGAAAAGGTTTCCACACAGAAAGAAACAATCTTTGATGGTTACGAGGGAGGGGAGGGCTGGAGAGGGGAAATGAATAACTAGATAGTAGTTAAGATGGTAACTTTGGTGAAGGGAAAGATAATACACAATCGGGGAAGTCAGCATAACTTGGACCAAGGCAAAGTCATAGAAGCTTCATAGACACATCCAAACACTTTGAGTGGCCGAGTTACTGGGACAGAGCTGAGAACCATGGTCTCAGGGGACATCTAGGTCAGTTGGAATAACATAGTTAAAGAAAATGTTCTACGTTCTACTTTGGTGAGTAGCATCTTAGGTCTTAAAAGCTTATGAAGCGACCACCTAAGATACATCAACTGGTCCTGTCCTGCCCGGAGCAAAAGAGAATGAAGAAAACCAAAGACACCTGAGAAATATTAGTCCAAAGGACTAATGGACCACAAGTACCATGGCCTCCACCAGCCTGAGCCCAGAACAACTACATGGTGCTCAGCTACCACAGCCTACCTCTCTGACAGAGATCACAATAGAGGGTCCTAGACAGGGGGAGAAAAATGTACAACAAAATTCAAATTCACAGAAAAAAACAGACTTAACTGTTCTGACAGAGATTGGAGGAACTCCCCAAAACTGTGGTTCCTGGACACCCTTTTAACTCAGAACTGAAGTTACTCCTGAAGTGTATCCTTCAGCCAAAGATTAGACAGGTCTATAAAACAAACAGTAGTTCAATCATAGATAAAAGACCAAATGGGCAGCACCTTCCCAAAACAAAGACAAGAAGGCAGGAAGGGACAGAAAAACTGGATGAATGGAAATGGGGAACCTGGGGTGGAGCAGGGGAGAATGTTGAGACATTGCAGGGATTGCAACCAAATGTCACAAAACAATTTGTGTATAAATAGTTGAATAAGAAGGAAACGAGTACACGTGCATAACGTATATATATGCCTCTGTGTATTTGCCAATCCTATGAGGAGGCAGTAACAAATTCTAAATATTTTTTTCATTAGTTTATAGCATCACATTTTTACATTCATAATTTCACTAAACATAGCCATTTACATTTCTCCACAGTCCCACTTATTCCATATTTATAAATGTATCTTTTTTGCATAGGCTTTAGAATCATTTTCTAATCTGAATATGATTCTTTTGAAGATTCTGATAAAAAGCTACCAGTATGGAATTTGACAGTCCAATCCGATTAAAAACCACTAAGTTTAACCATATTATAGAGAGTCCGATTTGTGTTAATGGTTGCAAAGATCAGGTAATAGGAATTTGTTGTTACTGTTTAGGTGCCGTTGAGTCATTTCCTACTCAGCCACCCTGTGTACAACAGAACGAAACACTGTCCGGTCCTGCGCCATTCTCACAATGTTGCTGTGTTTGATCCCATTGTTGCAGCCACTGTGTCTGTCTCCTTGAGGATCTTCTGCTTTTTCACTGACCACCTACTTTACCAAGCATGATGTCCTTCTCTAGGAACTGGTCTTCCTGATAACATGTCCAAAGTACATGAGATGAAGTCTCACCCATCCTTGCTTCTAAGGAGCATTTTGGCTGTACTTCTTCAAAGACAGTTTTGTTCATTCTTCTGGCGGTCCGTGGTATATTCGGTGTTGTTTGCCAACACCATAATTCACATGCATCAATTCTTTAGTTTTCCTTACTCGTTATCCAGTTTTCGCATGCGTATGAGGCGATTGAAAATACTATGACTTGGATCAGGTGCACCTTACTCCTCAAAGTGACATCTTTGCTTTGTAACACTTTAAAGAGGTCTTCTGCAGCAGATTTGCCCATGCAATACGTCGTTTGATTTCTTGACTGCTGCTTCCGTGGGCATTGATTATAGATAAAAGTAAAATGAAATCCTTGACAACTTCAATATTTTATCCATTTATCATGATGTTGCTCATTGGTCCAGTTGTGAGGTATTTTTGTTTTCTTTATGTTGAGATGCAATCCATACTGAAGGCTGTTGTCTTTGATCTTCATCAGTAAGTGCTTCACGTCCTCTTTGCTTTCAGCAAGAAAGGTTGTGTCATGTGCATATTTAAGGTTATTAACGAGTCTCCCTTCAATCCTGATGCCGTGTTCTTCTTCATATAGTCCAGCTTCTTGGATTATTTGCTCAGCATACAGATTGAACAAGTATGGTGAAAGGATATAACTCTGACACACACCTTTCCTGACTTTAAACCATGCAATATCCCCTTGTTCTGTTCAAATGACTGCCTCTTGGTCTGTGTACAGGTTCCTCAGGAATACAGTTAAGTGTTCTGGAATTCCCATTCTTCACAATGTTACTTATAATTTGTTATGATCCACACAGTTGAATGCCTTTGCATAGTCAATAAAACACAGGTAAACATTTTTCTGGTATTCTCTGCTTTTAGCAAAGAGCCATTTGACATCAGCAGTGATATCCCTTATTCCATGTCCTCTTTTGAATTTGGCTTGAATTTCTGGCAGTTCCTTGTCAATGTACTCTTGCAACTGTTTTTGAATTACCTTCAGCAAAGTTTTACTTGCATGTGATATTAGTATTATTTTTCGATAAGTTCCACATTCTTTTGGACCACCTTTCTTTGGGATGGGCACGATATTGATCTCTTCCAGTCATTTGTCTTCCAAATTTATTTGCATAGACAAGTGAGCACTTCCAGCATTGCATCTGTTTGTTGAAACATCACAATTGGTATTCCATCAATTCCTGGAGCCTTGCTTTCTGCCAATACCTTCAGTGCAACTTGAACTTCTTCCTTTAGTACCATCAGTTCTTGCTCATATGCTACCTCCTCAAATAGTTGGAACGTGGACCAGTTCTTTTTGGTACAGTGACTCTGTGTATTCTTTCCATCTTCTTTTGATACTTCCTGCATCATTCAGTATTTTGCCCATAGAATACTTCAGTATTGCAACTTAAGGCTTGGAATTTTTCTTCAGCTCCTTTAGCTTGAGAAATGATGAGCATGTTCTTCCCTTTTGAATTTCTAACTCCAGGTCTTTGCTCTCCTCAAGCTGCCCTTTGAAATCTTCTGATCTCTTTTACATGCTCATTTCTTCCTTTTGCTTTTTCTTCTACTCGACATTCAAGAGCAAGTTTCAGAGTCTCTTCTGACATCTATTTTGGTCTTTTCTTTCCTGTCTTTTTAATGACCTTTTGCTTTCTTTATGTATGATGTCCTTGATGTCATCCCTGGTCTTCTTCTGTCTTCAGACATTTAGTGTTCAGTGCATCAAATGTATTCTTGAGATGGTCTCTAAATTCAGGTGGGATATACTCAAGGTTGTACTTCGGCTCTCGTGGACTTGTTTTAATATTTTTCAGCTTCAACTTGAACTTGCATAGGAGCAGTTGATGGTCTGTTCTGCAGTTGTTCCCTGGCCTTGTTCTGACTGATGCTATTGAACTTCTCCATCATCTTTCCATAAATGTACTTGATATGATTCCTGTGCATTCCACCTGATGAGGTGCACATGTACAGTCGCTGTTTATGTTGTTGAAAAAAGGCTTTTCCAGTGAGTGGTTGTTGATCTTGCTGAATTCTCACGCGATCTCCGGCATTGTTTTTTCACTAAGGCCATATTTTCCAACTACTGATCCTTCGTGTTTCCAGCTTTTGCATTCCAATCATCAGTAATTACCAAAGCATCTTGACTGCATGTTTGATCAATTTCTGATTGCAGAAGTTGGTAAAAATCTTCAATTTCTTCATCTTTGGCGTTAATGGTTGGTGCATAAATTTGAATGGTAGTCATATTAACTGGTTTTCCATGTAATAATTAACCAGCACTAAATTTAGTTTTTCAAATGTTTGTTGAGATTATAGACATTGATTTAATAACTTAAAACCCCACTAAATTTTGATATTTTCTCGTAATGTGGCAGTCAGCATTTTGGTTTTGGAGAAACAAGAAATCATTATTTAACCTTTTAAAGAAAAGTTTCATGAGGATAGAACATATGCAATAATTAGGCGTTGGTAAGGTGATAATATGTTTCTGTATTGACCCAACTCCTCTACAAGTGTAAGGAAAGGGGCCAGGGGAAGAAAATGAGCTTTGTCGTTGCTTCCTATAAATGTGATCAAAGTTAAGGGTCAATTCAGGATTGACGAAAAGAAAATCCTCAGTATGAGATATCAAAGGAAGAGAAGCTGGGGTGGGAAGAAGGAAAGCATTGCCTCTGTCTTGTACACCTGAAGTTTTAGTTTTTAAATGACTGAGATAAAGTGATAGATTAAATGTGCTTTTAAGTGGAACTTTTAAAGATAAGTGAAAAAAAAATACATATATATACACACACACACACACACATATATATATTGGGGGGAGGGGTCTTGAAAAGTTTGCCTCTAACATTAAATAAAAAAAAAAACTTTAAGGTATTAATATTTTGAGGCAGCCAGAATAATCAGAGCCACTTTTTTCACCCCTACCACAGCACCAACTCGAACCTAATCTCTTTCTCTTTCTTATACCCTGTGCTCCCTTCCTCAGTTTGTTGTGATGTGCACTCCTGTGTGGGAGGTAGGATCATGTGCAATTAGAAAACACTTGGTGACCACCCCCGTCCTACTTTCACCCCTGTAGCAGACCACTGTTTTCAAACCTCCAGAAAAAGATGAGCTTTAAATAAAATATAACTTATTTTATTTCATCTCAATGTCTGTCTTTCCCCCTCTTAGAGTCTCCTTTTCTAACATTGCTTACGCCTTGCTTGTAGTTTCAGGTCTTTGGGTAACACTGAAAGCGAAGAAACCTTTGAAAGATTACTTCCTCTCATCTTCATCTACCTCTGGAAAATATGTTTTGAAATACCAGACTCATGCTATTGCCTCACACATATTTCATATTCCTCCTATGTTACTTATTTTTTCTGAGACTAAGTTGCCAACCTAAGCATATGTACTCTTAAGATAACTTTACTTTTCACATTTTTACTGGCATCTATAATTTTGAGAAATAGTACAGAATGACAGCTAGACAAGGTCCTCATTTCACAATGCAGACCAGTTTTAGAAGAACTCTAAATAGGTTATGAGTAATTTAAATGGTTTGAGATTTAAATAGAGGTTATGAAATAGTTTGTCAGTTGTTTGGAGCATTAAGAACGTATGCAAATATGTCATCATTTCTTATTGCCACTATTTAATAATCTAAGCAATAATAGCATATTTCAACTAAAGGAAAGGACAGCTTTGTGACCCATGGTTCTAATTTGTTAAGTTTCTGCTGGTTTCACTTTCTTCATCTTTATAACAATCAAATGCCGTCCAGCTACAGATTTCTGTGCCTCAATCCTTAGGCTTACAGTACCAGTAGTTGACTGCAGTGCTTTAGGATGTTAACCTTAATGTTTTAGTCCCTGTTTGCTTATGTTGGCAACATGACCATTGTCAGCCATAGGGTCAATAAATAACATTGTTTAGGATCTTAAATGCACTGAAGTTGTTTCTGGTTGTTTACTTTGGGATAAGAGAAAATGCAGTTGAAATGAGAAGTATGTAAAATCATAACTGTTAAAATCTGAACTTAAAAAAAAAAACAACTTTAATTGTACTGATTCTTGAAATAACTATTTTTTTTGTATGTTTAATTTGTACTTTTAGCATGTACAGCTTACTTGAAAGTCATAAACCCTGCTAGAAGAGTAAAGAACAGGTGGTATCAGGGTAGCCAGCGTTTTTAATATTCTGTGTGAAATTTTGAGTAGTCACCTCCTAATTTCTGATTGCTGCCTATACCACCATAGGCTGATGGGCTTTAGGATTGGCTTTTCTCAAGTGATGCCCAGATTAGAATCCAAGTTTGAATTGAAGAACTTTTGGTTGAGCTATAGCAAGATTTAAATCAAATCTTAGCAATCCCCCGCTTGAATTCTGGAGTCCCTGAATGGTGCAGATGAAAGGTTGGCAGTTCGAACCCAACAGCAGCACCTCAGGAGACAGTTCTGGCAATCTACTTCCAAAAGTTTCATTTGAAAACCCTGTGGAGCAATTCTACTCTGCACACATGGGATCACCATGAGTCAGAATCAACTTGAAAGCAGCTAACAACAACTTGAGTTCTAAATTTCTTTATAGATAAAATTACCAGTGTCCACATATGTTACATATACGTTAATAAAAGCATGTTGTTTGTTCGGCACCGTTGAGTCGGTTCTGACTGATGGTGACCACATGTGACAGATTAGAATTGCCCCAAAGTCTATAATCTTTATGGGAGCAGATTGCCAGGTCTTTTCACCTGTGGAGCTGCTGAGTGGGTTCTGACTGCCAACCTTTTGGTTAGCAGTGGAGTGCTAACCATTACACCACCAGGAATCCTTAATAAAGCATATGTAAAGTATGTTTCTATTCTTGGATGAAAATGTGTATTACTCCAGCACTGTACATTATGTTTTAATGCCAACTTGCTCTTATGTCACAGCTGCTGGTGAGAGCCAAGATACATTCATGTTAAAATGAAGACTGTTATGAAAGAGGAGAGTAGAGAGGAGTACTGTGTAGTGAGTAGCTGCCATATAGTTGTGTTGAAACTTAGTGAACTTACAATTGAGAATGCCCAGTGGTGCAGCCCTTCTCTCCTGTGAACTAACAGCCAGATTGTTTGTAATTTCCCATGCTATTTAAAACAGGGTTCTCATGTATCAGCCATCTTCTGTAAGGGTGCCCAGTGTGACTTCGGTTGATCCTGCTGCTATTCCGCCTTCATTAACAGACTACTCAGTACCATTCCACCACACGCCAATATCAAGCATGTCATCAGATTTGCCAGGTATGTGGAGAGTTTTGTTTTGCTTTTTATCAGTTTTATTATTTATTTTTAATCTTAATTTGTGGAGCAAATAATAGTTTTAAAAATTTAAATAGAAGTGCAAAGGAAATTTGAAAGGTTTCATGTAAAGGCAATATCTGTTTTAATATGTCATGTTCAAATGTTATCATTTTTTACTGCAGAGCAATCTGTAGGTTCCTGATGATAGGAAATATTGTAGGATAGTAGATAATTTTTTTATAGAATTTATTCTCCCTTACAGACAGTTTGTACTAGGAGAATTTTTCTTGGTTTATTTATCATAGAAGCTTCACAGGTTAGGGAGAGTATTTTCTCATATGTGGTGCACTCTTGGTAGCTCATCAGAATATACTATGGTGTAGTGTAGGGTCTATTTGGCTGCCAGCTCTACCCTGTGGATTTTTTTCCCCACTATTAGGACAGGATATACCAACTGTTTTTCCAGAGGAGTACTTAATTAAAATTTAGAGATATCTTTTATATGCATATTAACTCTAAAGTTGGAAAAATTCAAAATTACTTGACTTACCTTAGTACTTAACACTTAAGCAACCAAGGCCATATTTTAAAATTTAACTCCCCCTCCCCTGCCCCAGTTCTTCTTCCCTCTCTCCACAGCCATTGGTTGGGGGCGGAGAGGTGGGGGCAGACCTTCTTGTCATTTCAGCAAGTTAGACCCAGTGTCTCTTATATTCATGATCTGCTTTCTCACCTTTTCAGTTGAGCACAATTCCCTCCTCCTGTTACGGAGTTGATTTTGGCCTATGATTTATTTTTCTTCAACCTCTTAATAAGGTCTTTATTTTATTTTAAGCATAATACTTAAATCTGTTCAGCAAAATTTATGTCATTGAAACAGTTGATAGTTGTGTTATCTGGCCCAAGGTACTTTTGTCACTTGAAATTTGTTCAGGTTATTTGAATAAAGTTCAATGGAAAAGAATATACTAAAACTAGTAACAATCCAAAAAAAAGTTAATATCTTTTGCTGCTTATATATGTTTACTCCATATATAGTTTGGGAATTGGTATTTTCAAAAGTTCTTTGTAAAGCCAGCTAGCAACAATTTTGAAGTATTGTCTACAAGGCTTGTTGCTAAGGTAAAGTGAGGTTTTGTGGTCCAGGACAAAGATGGAAACTCAGAGATTGTTAATTCCTAACTCTGTATTGCTTTAATCACTTTGCTAGTTTTAAGTGAAGTTTAAGAGTGTCCAAGTGTCATCTTAATATGTGCTGTGAATAAGCATTCCAGAAGAATTTGTTTGCTAAAGACCTTGAATTCAAAAGATAATGAACATTCCTGTTGACTAGTTTACGTGACCCTGGCCATTTAGCAATAGCACAGACAGAATCGACAAATCACTTGCCCTGTAAATTATCAGTCTCGCTGAGTTTTTCATTTGGAAGAATTTATTTACATTGTTTCAAAATTTGGGCATAAAGTGACTTTCTTTCTTTAAAAAAAATATAAATTTGACAAATTACAGTAAAATGTGTATGAACTGTATATTTGATAAAATGCATTTCAAGCTGATATTGAGGAAATAAGGAACCCTGGTGACATAGTGGTTAAAGTGCTTGACTGTTAACCAAAAGGTCAGCAGTTTGAACCCACCAGCTCTTCTGCGGGAAAAAAATGTGACAGTCTGCTCCCATAAAGATTACAGCTTTGGAAACCCTATGGGAGCAGTTCTGCTCTGTCCTATAGTGTCGCTATGAGTTGGAATTGACTTGATGGCAAGGGTTTTCTTTTTGTTTCTTTTTTTTAATTGAAGAAATAAGACTAACATGCAGGACTGATACTTAGGAAGTATAAACCAGTATGGTGATACTGGCTTTCTTACCGCTTGATAAAATAAATAGAATAAGATTTACCAGCTGTTTTCCCTAGAACATTGCTTAATATTCCAATATAAACTCAATGATTTAAGCAAATTTGTCATAGAATATGATGACTCTTGTTGATGGGGCCTCCTGTTATGTAGTAGCGTCTGAAAACCATTCACAAAACCATCTGCCAGTTCAAGGCTTGTTGGGCTGCACACAGTTTTCGTGCATTCTTACATATATCTGTGGTTTAGAAGAATTACCCGTTTATTGTTATCTGTGAATTAATGTAGCAGCTACTACATCTAAAGAGTTTAGCTTTTACTTTGGTTTTATTGTTAATGTACTCTTTTGTAATTAGTAGTAATAACTTTGATTTTGTGCATAATTTGTATGTAATTGGTCATATTGTACAGAATATTGATATAAATTTAAGGATTTATAATAAAATATTAAAACTAAACACTGGGAATGGAGAGATGACAAAGTTTTAATACATTTCTTAACATTCCTTTTAAACATCATAAACATGAATCTTCTGAATCTGCAGGAGAACAAAGAAGAAATGATATTAATAATGAACTGCAGCTTGGAGCATCTTCTGATACTGTGCAACAATGAATACAAAATAAAACAGATTATTTGTATTTATGGAATGGAAAACAGCTTGATTATTTCAAGAAAAACTATGACTGCCTTATTGCTAGTGCCGTATTGTCAGGTGTGAATGGTGCTCAAGACTTGTGTCATAAAATTTGAAAGTGGTAAACATTTACATATTTAATCATGTAGCAGTCGTGTTCTGTAAAAGTTTATGGCTCAAGAAGAGAAAATGTGTTGTCATCAATAAGGAGAAAAACTAGTTTCACAGAATTATGCATTTAAAGTAAAAAATTACAATTTTATCAGTGTTAATAAAACAAAATACATTTAGAATGTACGATCAGAGTTTTAAACATTACCTGTTTTTTAGGTGTCAGTTATCTTGTGCTGCTATAACAGAAGTACCACAAGTGGGTGGTTTTAACAAACAAATTTATTTTTTCACAGTTTAGAAGTCCAAATTTAGGGTGCTGGCTCTAGGGGGGAAGGCTTTCTCTCTCTGTCAACCCTGGGAGTTAGGTCCTTGTCTCTTCAGCTTCTGTTTCCTGCTTCCTTGGAGAACTCTATATTGTCTTGGCATCTAATTTACCCCATCTCTGCTCACTAGCTTGCTTGCTTAATCTCTTTTATATCTCAAAAGAGATTAACTCAAGACATACCCTACACTAATCCTACACATACCCTACACTAATCTCATTAACATAACAAAGTCATCCCATTCCCAAATGAGATTATAACCACAGGCATCAAAACGAAAACCAAACCCACTGCCATACTGGTCCCATAGGGCAAGGCTGTAAATCTCTACATTAGCAGACTGCCACATCTTTGTCCTGCGCCACAGGCATAGAGGTTAGGATTTATAACATGTATTTTGAGGAGACACAATTTAATCCGTAACATTCTACCCTTTGCCCCCCCCCCCAAATTCATGTCCTTGTCACATGCAAAACACATTCACCCTATCACATCATCCTAAAAGTTTTAAATCAACTCCAAGCCCAAAATCTCATGTTCTGAATCATCTCAGTCAAATATCAGTGAGATTTTAGGCGTGTTCCATCAGGGGCAAAATTCTTCTTCTTCTGTGAAATCTAGAATACAAGTTATGTTTCCAAAGTACAATGGTGGAACGGGTAAAAGGTGGACATTTCCATTACAGTGGGAGAAATTGGAGGGAAGAAAGGATAAGGACACCAAGCAAGTCTAAAACCTAGCAGAACTATTTACATTATCTCTGAAGGCTTGAAAATAATCCTTTGTTGTCTGAGACCATCTGGGCAATGGCACCGCCCTCCAGACTCTTGGTGTTGGCCATGCCCTCTGGATTCTGAGTGGAGTGCCCTTGGCCCTGGGCTTCAACTCTGCCTTCCAGGCCCACTGGGATGGCAACTCCGCTCCCTCTGCTTTGGGTGGCCCCATTCTCCTAGTCCATTTGAGTGGCAACCCCACCCCCTCGGCCTCAGCAAGCCCCGCTCTTCTGACCCTTCGGCATGGCAGCCTACCCCCTCAGCTTTGGGTAGTGGCCCCATCCCCCTGGCATTCGTGAACGGCAGCCCCACACTCCGAAACCGAGTTGATGAAGATCTGACTCTAGGAGGCTGTGACTCCACTCCGCCCTTTGAAACCAGTGCAGCCCTGCTTCCTGTGCTCCTTCCAAAGTTCTGCTGATCCCCGAGCTGCTCCACCGGTGGCCCTTTTCTTTTCTTGACGAGCAACAGATGTAGCTCTTTTGGCCTGTTTCCTGCCTGTAGAATTCCAAGAGGCAAACAGCATTCTTTGCTTGCTTGCTTTCTTTGTTTCCTTCAGTCTAAGCTGATGAGTTTTCTGCTGTGGTAGTTGGTCAGAGCCATCAGTCACAGGCTTAATCTCTGTAACAAAAGATTATGTAGCCACATCTTGGTGAACATTCTAAGACATGTGCCCTTAGTTTGTACAGCAGAATTTTCCAAATCTTTAATTTTTCACAGTTTTTTTTTTAATGTTTTTTTTATTGTACTTTAGGTGAAGGTTTATAGAACAAATAGTTGCTCATTACACAGTCAGTAGGCATATTGTTTTATAACATTGGTTAACAAACCCACAACATGTCAACATTCTCCCTTCTCGATCTTGGAGGACCATTTTTTTTTTTTTTTGGTGAAAATATAGATAGCCAAAGATATACCATTTCAAAAACTTCTGCATGTACAATTCAGTGACATCAGTTACGTTCTTCTAGTTGTGTTGCTATTGTCACTATCCTTTTCCAAATTATTCCATCACCATTATCTTCAACTCACTGCCCTCTAGGCTTCCCATCAAACCTTTTGAGTTTCTGTTCTCAGTTTGATCTCACATAGATAATTCTTTTTTTGTACTTAGATGAAGGTTTACAGAACAGAATAGTTTCTGATTAAACAGTACGTGTATTGCCCTATGACAATGGTTAACAACCCCACGATATGTCACAGTTCATTTTGTAAGTCCACCTCTTTCTCTCACATTTCACTGTAAGCAGCAAGGAGAAACCATGTAGCCCCCTTTAAGATCTTGCTTAGAAATCGCATCAGCCACATATCCCAAGTTTATCAGTTACAAGTTCTACCTTCCAGCAAACATTTGAACATAATTCACGCAAGTTCTTTGTCACTGCATAAAAAGCATCACCCTTCTTCCGTTGTCCAATCACATGTTCATCATTTTCTCTTAAAGTCTTAACAGAAGCACATTTAATGTCCACATCTCTAATAACATTCTGTTGCTGGCACCATATGTAGTCTCTAAGATGATAGAGACTTCCTCTTTAGCTCTCCTCACTTCCTTCTGAACCCCTACCAGAATTTGCTTTGATATCCATAATTCTGCCAACAATCTCTTCAAGGCAATCTAGGCTTTTACTATTAGGCACCTTAAAACTGTTCCAACCTCCACCCCTTACCCAATTCCAAAACCATTTCCACATTTTAGGTATCTGTTAGTACAGCACCCCACTCTTCTGGTACCAAGTTCTGTCGTAGTTATGTAGTGCTGCTATAATGGAAGTACCACAAGTGGGTCTCTTCAACAAACACTTATTTTCTCACAGATTAGGAGGCTAGAAGTCCTCATTCAGGGTGCCAGCTCTAGGGGAAGGCTTTCTGTCTCAGTCTGCTCTGGAGGAATGTCGTTGTCTCTTCAGCTTCTGCTTCCTGGTTCCTTGGAAACTTCCATGTGTCTTGGCATCTGTCTTACTCCGTCCCTGCTCACTAGCTTGCTTGCTTGTTTAATCTCTTTTATCAAAAGAAGTTGACTCAAAACACACCTAACAGTAATCTTGTCTCATTAACATAACAAAGACAACCCATTCCCAAATGGAATTATAACCACAGGCATAGAGGTTAAAGATTTACAACACATGTTTTTGGGGGACACAATTCAATCCATAACATTAGGTAAAAATAAGCATTTTCAAGCATGAAATTTTTAGGAGAGCATAAAAACATCATTATGGCTTATCATTGCGATTGAAACTTACGGTGGAATAAGAAAATGACATTTTGCTACACAGAAGGCAGTAAAATTTCAGGCACTTGCTGGAACCTCACCTATTTCATGTAAGTTTTAATAATCTACTTGAAGTATAAAATTCAAGACTGATAATAGTTTAAAGCGTTTTATTAGAAGGAATAACATCTGAAACATTATATCAAACTTCAGTGTTAGTACTTGAGAAAAATGGTTTTACTGAGACATATTTACAATAAAACCCTGTTGGACTTTGTATAGACAGCACCTATACAAAAGGAGACAATCTGGAGTTTCAACCAGAATTTTAGAAAAATTTCTAGGTATTTTAATTATGGCATTGTGTAATATTGTATTCAATTATCCCTGGATAAGGTTGTCAAAAGATAGAGATCAGGTAAATCTCTCAGATGTTTTTTCAGTAGACTTTTATAGCTACTGTCACACATGAAGTGATCACCAAAGAGAATTAAACAATGTATCTGAAGAGCTGGGACTTGAAATAATAAAGATAGGAAGTCTTTGGACCTCCATGGGCAGCCTCTAGAGGTAGAGCTGCAAAAACAGTTTGAAAAGTATATTAAGCTTTGTGTATGCCTTTTAATTGAAATTATGAAATGGGGAATAAATGTTTAGAAGATGAGTCTTTTTTAGTGATTTAGCTTCAAATATTCCATCAGAAATGTAGATACTTTCTTTAGCTTTATAAAAGAGGTTTCAATTATTACAATGGACTGATTGAGCAAACATTAAAAATGATTGACCATATAAAACTAAATAAAACTATAAAAGGAGAGGCTATTATAAAAATGAAAAACATACCATTTGAAGCGAAACAAAATTAAACCCATTAAATGATAGTCCAATAAACTGTTTTTGTGATTTAATAATAGAGATATTGAATATATAAACTTTCAGAAGATATTATAAAGGCTAGACAAACTTTGAATTACTGTTCAGCAGAAGCAGAAAGAGGGTTAATTTTTATGAACAGTATTAATGTGAAGAGAAAACCTTCCACTTACTGAGTTATATCACCTAATGATTATCAACTTGATGGGGAAGTTATTTGAAAAGTTTGATATGTTTCCCTATGTCAAGTTCTTGGCTGAAACCCCTGCATCATATAGGCTAGTGACAGCCATATGAAATGAAAAATTTTGTCAACAATTTAAAAAATACTTTGAAATTGATCTAAAAATTGATTGGTGCTATAGCTTATATCACTTGATAAGCATGTTTATAACATCTTTATAGATGATAGGGGAGTATACGTTAACATTTTTCATTTATAAATTATACTGGTTATTAAAATTTTAAAATATTGTCTCCCGTAATGTTACCTGTTTTGAGTAAGAGTCTAGTATTAGACTTTTACTCTGTGTGGTTATTATATCTGGGATGACATCCAATGTCAGCATGTAAAAATTCATGAAGTTGAGTAGAAATTGGCCTGTCTTAGTGAGCTATACCGAGTGTGTGATTTTTAAAAAATGTATTTGAAATAATCGAAAAGAATTTACTCGAACAGAAAAGTGTAGGGGAACTGACTTTACAGTTTATTATTAGACATTTTAGATCTGAAAAATTTTTATTATTCATTGTTACAACTTTAATACTTTAGAATGGTATCACTAGGCAAACTTTTCCACATTCCTATTTCTAAAACGTAATTTAAGAATCTTAAATCTTTGGTTTTGAAAGCTATGTGTGCTTAGAATCCAGTTAATCTTGGTAAGATTTAGCTTGGCAGTGAGCAGCAGTTACCGGGGGCTGGCTTTGTGCAGAGCATTGGCTTTGTGCTACCCTTGCTGTGAGAGCAGGGGAACAGAGAGCACTCAATGAAATAGACGTCTGTTTAAGACGTGATATTCTAGATGAACCTCAATGTGGTGTATTTCTTAAAAAATAAATGCCTAAGCTTTTTTTAATGGTCTAACTCCAGATCATTATCTCATCGTTTTTATTGCTTCTAATTCTATTAAGTGACAAAGGGGATAAGTTTGTTTTGACTAGTCCTACTTCTCTGGAATTTTTGGACTGCTGCCTTTGAGTCCTTGGGATGTGATTTTTCCAGTTGTTTTGTCAAGGAATATGTTCATCTTTGGGTTTTATGCACGTTAAATATTACTGATCATGCTGTAAAACTTCCATGTGGCAGAGTGGGTAAGCTCATACCCCAGATGTTTTGTGGCTTGACATAAATACAAAATGATTTTGGGAAATAGTTCTAGCCTCCAAAATAAAAGAGACAACTATTAACAGAGCATTTTTGTTTTAGGTTTGGATTTTCTTTCCCTTATTCCAGTTGATCCCCAGGTATGTATCCTGAATTTAAGCAACTAATTTGTATTTGATTGTTGATTATGTCATACTAACTAAAAATGACCAGTTGCATAAAATCAGGACAGTCAACTCTCACTTATTTACATTGATGGACAGGAAGTACTATATAAATATTTCATCAGTTTTATTTAAAGGGAAAAAGTTTCTGTTTTTCATTTTATGATATTTTGGCCTTAATTCCTGGATGTTTAATTATATTTTATTAACTTAATAATCAGTTGGCATTTCTTATAAGCATTTGAGTAATTAGAATGAGGAAAAACAGTGCAAGATGGCTGGAGGTTAAAACTTCACAGAGATAATTTGTAAAACACATTCTATACATTAAAAAATCAATGGCTGATTAAGCAGACTCGTATCATTAGCTTGATATTCCCATGATTTTAAAGGCAGTAGGATTCAAACTTCTGGGATGCCCCCAATTTATAGTAGCTATGTACCTCACCCCTGTTTTCTGTGTCAGATAAACGCTAGTATTCCAGTGGCCCAACGTAAAGACCATAGTAAAAGGGGAAGGGGAGAGTAAAACAGAGAAAGAAAGGAAAGAAGCTAGGGGAGATGGTGTTTATAGGGAGGGATGGAGGAAGAACGACGGACCACCACTTGCTGGGATGCTCAGAATCGGTTAACCTCGGATAACCACAGGTCTTACATCAGCCTCCTGTTTCCATGCTGTGTATCTGATTACACAAATTGAGCACAGGAAATTTGGGCCTTATGTGCAAAAGGAGGAATTTCTTGTTGTCTCCTGAGATGACCTTGTTACATCAGTAGATTCTGTAACAAAGGCATCTACATACTTTTGTAGGAAATGGATTTTTCAGGCTTGAAGTTTTTATGTGAAAAACCCTTAAAAAATCATCTTGAAGCCTAAAAAAACCAAGTGCCTTCGAGTCAATTCTGACTCTCAGTGACCCTAAAGGACAGAGTAAAACTGCCCCATAGGGTTTCCAAGGCTGTAAATCTTTATAGAAGCAGACAGCCACGTCTTTCTCCCACAGAGCAAGTGTTCGAACCACCTACCTTTTGGTTAGCAGCCAAGTGCTTTAACCACTGTGCCACCAGGGCTCCAGCGCTTAGAGGATTTTAATTTCTTAGCTTTATTTGGCACACTTAGTGGCAAGCTAATTTATTTGGTGAGTCAGTAGAAGGGTGGGATTATGCCTTTAGTTTACTTTAGAATCCTTCGATTTTGTTTTGCTTTATCCTCATGTTGCCGCCTTAGTCCCGGTTGTCCTTGTGCAGATATATGCCCATTACACATAAGGAATACAGAGTGAGATGACAAATAACAATGGCTGCAACCCCAGTACTACAAGAATTCAAGGCATGGAGCCCATTGGTGGTGGGACTGTAGCATTGAGCACTCATTTTATAAATGAAGGAGAGTACCTTTTTACTACTAGGCAGTCAAAAATTGCCTGAGAGGTAGGAGGAATAAAAATTTGGCTTTTCTGGGCTTTCCACCTCCCCCCAAATTCTGTCCCCAATTTTAGTGAAAAGTTGGAAATTGGTTTGCTTTTAGAGAAGAATTGTAATACCTGCCAAATCAACTATACTTAGAGCTCCTTGGAAGCTTTATAAGAACAATTACCTCTCCCTCTTGAGTCCTTTGTGTGTGGCACTCATTTGATTATGAACTCATTTTATTATGAACCAACACAGTTATCCAGTATAAACATTAAATTACTTTTTTGAAAGACAGCCTGAATTTTAATTGTTGCCTTCCACTGACTAGTAGCTTAAACCTGGGGCTTTTCCCATTTTATGGGCCTTGAAGCTCATGTAGTCCAAACAGCTTCAGTTCTAAATTCTTATTCTGTAATCCAGTATATCTAATGATACCTTGAATAATATATAGAATGAAAAATATTGATCAGATAGCTTTAGTGGTCTTCTGTCATACAATAAAACTAAATTTAGGAAATCTCCTACAGTATATGCTAGACCTCACTTATTTTGCTAACGTCAGTACAGTTGTTCCTCACATAAAACATGCTATGATGATGTAAACTCAGTCTTGTAGCTCTTACCTCTCTCTACTCCTCTTGGTCAATGGGAATCAGCAACAGGAATGTGAGGGGACTTGAGATATGAACACTTGGAAGGGGGATGTCAAGCAAGCATCACAAGGAAGATTAGAGCTTTAAGATTCAGTCCCAAATTTTGTGATTACATGAGATCATTGTTCTGAGCATACTCATAAAGTGTCTAATTGATATTAAATTTTGAAAGATGTGTTGAATTTTACATTAGCATTTTTGCTTAATACCATTAAAATAAGTATTTACTAGCTTTTTACAGTGTTGATTTAAAGCCCATCTAAATACAATTAATGAACAAATTCTTAAAATTTAGTATGAGTCATAATTGTGGGGCCAATATTTAATATTGTGACTTCAGTTATTATTGACATTATTTGTATTTTTACCAATGTACGTGGTCAACAATCAAGTTCTACAACTTTTCAGAGAATCAAGAATGTGCTGCATTCACTAAATAATGTAAAATAGCTAAATTCATGTCACCTTCCACCCAAAGATATGAAGTTTTGAGAAATTTTAAAATCCCAGTGAGATTTAAGTGTGTGGCTATCACTTGTGCGTATCTAACAATCTCTAGTCTCTTTATTTAAAATCAATGTAGCCTCTTCCTCATCGGCATCATTGTTTGTTTCAAGCAGTACTGTCCTCCTATGTTTTTGGATAGTCTCACCTCACCCTTAACAGCAAGCAGTACGTCTGTCACCACCACCAGCCCCCATGAGAGCATTACTCATGTTAGCTCATCCAGCAGCAGGAGTGAGACAGGGGTCATAACCAGCAGTGGAAGTAACATTCCTGACATCATCTCACTGGACTAAGAAGGACTCATTCAATTCTAGGAATCATTAATCACAACTGCTCTTTATTGAATCTTTGGTCCGTGGAACTATTTTTTGAGCAGTTACTTTGATATTTATTGAAACAGCAAATGGATTCTTTTGCTTTCTGAAAGATGAACACAGATGACTGCAGCAAGAACCAGATGACATGCAAGGATTTTTCTTATTCATGGTGTCCCTGAGCATCAGATACATTCAGCCATAATTGTATCTTTCTAAGCGATGGATTTCAATTTCATATGTTACTGGATGGATTCTACAAATTAGTTTTTAAAAATCTTTTTTGTTGTAATAAATGCCAATAACATTATGTAAATATTCAAGTACACTTTTTTCTAATTAAGGAAAAAAATATGTAATTAATGATTCTGGAATGGCAGCAACTTGTGTTTAACCTGATGTGACCAAACTCAAACTCACTGCCAGCCGTCGAGTTGATTCTGACTCATAGCGACCCTATAGGACAGGGTAGAACTGCCCCGTTGGGTTTCCAAGGCTGTAATCTTTATGGAAGCAAACTGCCACATCTTTCTTCAGAGGAGCAACTGGTGGATTTGAACCACAGACCTTTGGGGTAGCAGCCCAGTGGTGAAATACTGTGCGACCAGGGCTCCTTACCTGATGTGAAAGAAAAAAGATACGGAAAGGAGTTAGGTTTGCTGAATGGGTCTTTGCCACAGAGGTTTCGTTAAAGTAATGAAGCCTTGATGAGTGACCAGAACTTGGGCTCCACTTTCCTTCCTGCAGTTTCAGTTTTCTTCCTGATCCTGTCAAAGAAAATGGCCTTTGATATACATTTTGCCCTGATTGTCATTTATACTTTGACATTGTTTGTTAATGAATGCAGAATGAAGTTCTGGGATTTGGCTGCTCTTTACTAGTGATTATGTTGAAGAACACTATGCAGATTCTGCCCTGACCTAATGTGTGTTATTTTTGGTAACCGCATTTTCAGTCTAGAGTTTTCTGTAAATTTGGAGGCTTGCTTTCTCAAAAAAGAAATTTCATGCAGCCATTGAATGAAATGTTTTGGGGGTAAGGTGTGGCTGGAATGTTGGTTAGAATTTTCATTACACTCTCCAGAAATGTTAAGAGCTTATTGGCAGCAGAAGAACAGATTTAGGGGAGGTGGGAATAACACAGTTTAATTTCTTCCTAAAAACTTAATTTGTTCACATATTTTACTGAATAATATGTAAATGTTTGTTGAAACTTTTTAGGTTTTCATAACATTGACATAGAAAAATTGTTCTAGATCACAGATCATATTTCTCGACGATGTACTCTCAAGCTCAAATCAATGAATGACTTTCAGACATAAAAAACAAAAAATAACAAGGAATAGGGTGGCATCAGATTTCATTTTTTGAAAAGGAAATCTTTGCTGAAACCATAAAAAATAATTAGAAATCTTTTAACTGAAGTGAGGAAAGGTCAGGGAGAATGGGCCTGGAGCCCACTTGATGTCTTGCTCCATGCTGCCCTCAAACACTCCAAGGAGCCCCTGCGATTCTGGATGCATTTTGAAACCACTCTCTTATACTGCATTTGCTTTTAAATCACTGAGGAAACTGAATTTTGCCGCTTACAGAAAAATTTTCATCCATAGTTTATATTTTTCTTCACTTTGTTTGGCTTCTTAAATAATTTCTGGACTCTAAAAGATTTAGTAATTCTTTCCTAATGTTTAGATTTCTCTTCCTAAGCGGTATCTACTTCCTTGAAAAATAACACCCTTTTTTTCCCTGACTAATCAAGCTAATTGATTTCTCAAACTGAAGTGCCCAGATGAGGTCCCTCCACTTTCAGTTAGAATAGGACACATTACTTCATGGCCCACGTAGGGAGCTGACTTGTCTCTGCTTGGTCTTTTACACCTTCTCCAGTTTTCATGGCCTTTCTGTGCTCCTTTTGATTTAATTTTCTGGGGTTTTCTACATCATCCCTTCTTTGGCTGCATCATCCCCTTTTTCAATGAAGATGTGGAAAAAAGTCGGAATCTTCCAGCAGTAGTTTCACTATAGTTGCCAATTATACCTTCCTAGTCATTAGATTTCTAATCCCGTGTTTTAGTCCTTTGGTCCAGATATATAATTTCTTCCTAGTAAGATTTTATGTTGCTGCTCTAAATACAGATGCAATTTCTGTTAACTTTGTAACCAGAAAAAGTAAACTGATTTGTGTGGTATAATTTGTTAATAAAGAAATGATGTATATTTGCTATCATTTTGTTAACCTTTAGATTCTCAGAGACACCTCCCCTCCACCCCCACCCCTGCCAGTTTAACCAGCATAGTTTTACAGGGTAAATGAAAATCTTAATAGAAGTTAGTTTATTTACTTGGTTCTTGTAACTGATTCCGCTATGGTTTTGTGGTCGTGCATTGTTTCCTTTTCACTATTTTATGTGAACAGTTTTATTGTTCATTTTTGGTGCTTTACACTGAACTGACATATACATTTTTAATTGATCCCATACAGGCAACTAACACTTTAAAATATATATATCTTTAAGTTTATAATCTTAAAATTGGGGCTTATATTGTTTACGTAACTTTGAAGGTAAGTACTTTTCTTTATGCCGTTGGCCTATGGCAATGTCATGATTATTAAGCCATTATCCTTTGTTTAGTTTGGTCGCTAATTATTTTTACCAAGACCCTGCCTTTTTAGCAGTTCGTTTTGCTGGGACAGATTTCTGCTTAACCAAGTATAATGCTGTTTCAGAAGAGGTCATGTTAGTTGTTACTTATATGTTAGCCAACCAGTAATGATCTGGGGTATCTTGTTCAAGGAAAGAACCTGCAGTTATTAGTCTTACAGTCACTTAACCAGCCTGCATTTTTATCTTTCTTCACTTAGAAATGTTAAGGGCTTTTCTTGCTTTGATAACTCCTGACTGTAATTGGTGCTGAATATAGCTTCATACCAAAGGTCTGCTTACACTCACTTTCTGACCCTTAGGTGAGAGGATTTTATTTCCACTTCTGACCATAGGATAATTGTAAAAGCCAAATGAAGCAGTCAAGGTGAATTTGGGTTACATGGCATTTATCTGATCATAATGTATTTCAGAAAAGCTAGAATGAAAATGTGATACTGCATAGGTGAGAGATATCAAGTCTAATTAAATTGATCTGTTAACTCTTGGTATAATTTCCTTTAAGTGGAGTCTCAAAGAATTTGAAGGAAAGTAAGACGTTGGATTTTAGGTGAAACAGTGTTGAACAGAGACTGTTGCAACTTTGGTATTCAGACCTTTCAGACCTTCTGCCTTCAGACCAGTGCTGGACACTCGCCATTTAGTAACCAAAGTGTTTTTCTTCTGCCAATAAAGTATTCATTAGTTAAACTTTGTCATTTTAAGTAAAGTTGATATTTACAAAGGTCTAGCTTTATTCTCAAGTTTGCCAGTCATTTGTCTCTATCCCCCAGCTACTGGGTAAAAAAACACTTAACATTTTGTTCTTGCTTTTGGTAAACACTCGTTTTCCCTACAGCTTTGAACATACATACATTTCTGTGGAATGTCACTGAATTATTGCCCAGCTCTTTTCATCTTAGAAAATATGGAGCAGTACACCACTTAAATTAGGGTATGACAGTGGATTAGTGGCCCTGGATTCATGTCGTGTGGGAGCATGGAGTTGTTATTTAGATAGGTGATTGATGATTCAACCTGATTCACCAGCTATTCTGCTACAGTTCTACATGAATATGGTAAAATTTGTGAAAAATAATTTAAGAATGTCTGTTGCTTTTAAGAGTCTGACACTTCTGTCAGATAGGTGTGTAATTGCCGTTTTTGTTAGGAACCACACTCTGATTCCTAGAGAAAAATAAAGCTGTATAAAAATGCCCATTCTTCTCTAATGCTTACCTGTTTGAATAATGTTTTTGTTTTTTATTTATATTAGTAATACATGCTCATTATGGAGAATTTAGACAATATAGGAAGTATAAAGAAAAATAACAATTGCCTATAATGCTATCATCCAGAAAAAAAAAGCATCACTTTTAATATCTTTGCATATTTCTCGCCAGTCTCTTTGCTGTTGGTGCATGTTTTTAACTAATGTTTTTCATTTATTTTCAATATGATTTGGTATATATTTTTTTCTCAACCTACAGGCATTATTTCATGTCATTAAGAACTATGCCAACCTTTATTAATTGCATGATATTCCGTTGTGTGGCTGTGTCATGATTCATATAACTTTTCCCCATTGGACATTTTAGATTGCATCGCATAACCCTGCAGTGAATGTCTTTTTGCATAAATTATTATCCTCAGGATAATTCCTAAAGGTTAAATTTCTGGGTCAAAGGATATGAACGTTTTTGTAGTTTTTAATTCATATCATCTTTCCAAACGGTTGTGCTAACCATCTTTTTCCAAGAACGTTCAACATTTGTTTCTGTGCAAGCCTCTGCACTAAAACCCTTGCCCTTCTGCCCTGGTCAGTTGGGTTAACTGATTTGGAGGTAACTGGCAGAGATTTTCGCAGGCTACCTCTGTTTCCAATAGACCTACATGACATGTTCAGAAACATCTACATATGGATATCCAGATGATTTCTCACAGAGTTTTACCTGCACTGTGAAGTAGCCAGATTTCTTTGTCAGACTACATTTTCCATTTATAGTTAAAAAATCTTGTCACTTTTTTTTTTTTTTTAACTGTTTGTGCCTAGGGCCAGCCCTTAGTAGCCAGCTCTCTTTTTCCTCTTCCTGTAGGCTCCACCTTGGCCTTTCTGAGCTCCCCAAAGCCAGTAGGATCTCCCAAGCCAAAGGCAGCCCAACCCAAACTGGAGAAGTGGTAAGGCTAACTAAAACAAAACAAAAAACATGGGAAAGCTTTGCCTGTTTCACTTTGTATTTTTTTATGTTTCCAGTGAGATCTCATTCTTAGTGTTCTAAGGACTGCTGTGGGGAAAGAAAAACGGATTGCTGTTTTCAGATGTTCATGGTGGAGCGTTTTCTTGACATACTACATTCATTATTTCTCAAACTGCTTTTTATTTCTGAATGGCTTTTACTGCTTTCTTCCTGTCTTTATTTTATATTCTGGAAACTTTTAAGTGCAGAGTGTAGTCGTGTTATCACATAGAATATACCTCTTATTTTGTCCTTCATCAAACTATTCAAGAAATGTTTATTCAGTATGTATCATAAGTGTGTGTGGGATAGACTAGTATAAAAGATCTAGTCCTAGACTTAAAAGGGCTTATAATCAATTGAATTCTTAACTAGAATTAGACATTTTGCTAAGAAATTTCAAAAATGTCTCATTCCTCACAACAGCCCTTCAAAAGAAAGTGATATCCCCATTTTACAAATAAGCAGATTTAGATAAAATTGATCGCAGAGTCACACTGAGTAAGTTGAGGAATTGGGAATCTGACCCAGACCAGCCTCAAAAGCCCTCTGTCTAAACTAAAATGACATTAATTAACTAGTCTGGTTGGAAGACTAGTATGTGAATCTAGACATAAAATTATGAGAACTGAGTCCAAATGATGGTAGTAGTAATAAGGAAATAATGGATACTGGAGCTGTTTTAAAGGAACACTCAAGCTTTGGTGACTGAGTGGATATAGAAGTAAGGACTGAGTCCACTTCTCAAACCTGGGATAACTTGGAGGATAACAAGGCTGTAGAGACAGGAGACCTTTAGAGAGAAGGTTAATCACTTAGGGGAGACAATAATGAGTTTGATGTTTAGTTTAAGTGGCATGTGATATCAGAGAAGAGTAGCTCTCTAAGAAGCTCTTAGAACAGTTCTTGACCTGTTGTATTTGCTCTGGTGTGCCACACTGGTAACATTCTTTGTATGGAGACCTCTAGTCACCCCTAATCAAGAAAGGGAAGCTGGAAACATGTAAAGATTTGTTATATTCACAGTTCCTGGTGTTCACAGCACCGTTTCACCATACATCAGTCCCCCTCTGTTTTCCCTGTATTTACTGCCCAGCTTAAATGGCTCCTTCATTATCACAGCCTTAAACTAAATATTCTCACCCCTCCCCTCAGTTATCTATCAGTACTTTGACTTGGCGTTATGTAGTTCCTTTGCACATTCTCCTCATCAATAATTACAAATCTTACCACTTTCCTTTAGTCCGCTTTTCAAACCACACCCTTCTTAGCAGATGACCTTCCTAATTCAATCAAAAGATTGAGTCCATCAGCATGATTTCTCTCCACATCCTATCCCTCCACCTATGGCCACCTTTATTCTTCCTAAATTTACTTACGTCTCAGAGGATGAGGTGGGTCTTCAAGGCCAGTTTAGCCACATGAGCCTTTGACCCTTCTTGCTGCCTGTCTTAAGGACCTTCCTCCACCAGACTTTCCCTCTTCTGTGTCTTTCACTTTCTACTCGTTTTCCTCTTGGCTTACAAATGTTTCAGTCTTCAGATATTTGAGTTCCTATCATGTGCCAGGCTTTGTACCAGGCCCTCTGAATATAGACATGCTACCTACCCTCACCAAAGTTGCCCTCCAGTAGAATATACAATTGATTGAAATAGGGAGACCACAATGCATTGTGAAAAGATGAAGTACAGGGAGCACAGAGATGCGGCACCTAACTGATTTGGTGGAATTAACATGAGTAGAAACAGGGTTGTTTAGAACTTTGTTAAGTTCAGAGAAGACTGAAAGAAAGTTGAGAATAGCTGGAAATTTGCTAAGAAATACTAAGAGAAGTCTACATAAGCTAGATCATGAAAGGCCTTGTAAAGCAGTGAGAAGGTATTGAGTTTGGTATGATTGTCCATGTAAAATGCTGCATTTTACAAATGTGGAAACATTCTAAGAGGGTAGGTGACTTGCCTAAGGTCATGCAGCATGTAAGTGGGGAGCTACGCTTCAAACCCAGCTTTTAACTTAACCACTTTCTCAGAGAAGCCTTTTCTCATTATTCTATTTAAAAAGTAGGTGTTCCCTATCTGTCATCTATCACATCACCTTGTTTATAGCTTACATGGCACTTACCACAACTTGTGATTATTTTATGTATTGGTTCATTGTGTATTGTCTGTCTCCCCTTCTAGATTGTAAGCTCCTCGAGGGCAGGGGTGATTTCTTACTTCACCTGCATCCCAGAGTCTAACATGGTGTGCAGTGTATAGTAGGTGCTCAATAAATATTTGTGAATGAAGAAATGCTGGGTAATGGTTTGTATTTGACTTGTGCTGTCTGGAAATAATGTATACCAAAAGAAGAGAACAGGAGGACGTGCATGTTGGGG